TCGCAACGCGCGCGTGACATTTCTAGTGTTACAGGCGTCCATAGGTTACAGTAACCGTCAGGTGGGCCGTATGCTTGCTTGCCACCATAGTAGATAAAAAAATACATTACTCGTAGATAATATAGCTTTGTATAGGAAAAAAAAAATTAAAATCGTTTAGTATTTTTAAAAATCTAATACATAGATAGATATATAGATAGATAATTTATTTGCATGTATATCTGTTGTGGCCAAAGGGAATAGGGTAACAATAAAATAATACTAAAAGATTACCTATACAGTAAACAGACAGATGTGACAGTCTATCTAGCAGACAAATGGAACATAGAGGTAACTTGCTGAAATATCTAACTTTTGCCTCACAATTAAGATTTTTTTTAAATTAATTTTGAAGCTAGACTTATCAATCTATCAATCAAATCTCCTCTCTTTTCAACATTTTTTTGATGTGTGAAAATGGTATGGTAACCCCGCCCGCGCCAGCGGGATACGCTGGCGGGCACCAGTGAAGGGTGAACGATGAGAATGAAAACAGGCCAGTTAGCCCATTATGATGAATCCATCAGGAATCAACCATGACAGTTTCCAGGGGGAACCGCGTGGAGGTCGACCTGGTCCCATTGCTAGCAATATACCCAATATTGCTAGCAATATACCCAATATTGCTAGCAATGGGATTCTCGGTCTCCATTACTAACAATCCCCTTCTCCCCTTCTTTTCAATATTAGGTTAGATCAGGCTGCCTGATCTCAGACACGCGACGGTGTTTGTCTTGTTGCATATGATCGGCTCCAATTGTGCCTGTCATAACGGGCAATAGTTCAAAATCCGAGCGCCGAAACTCGTTCGTAACGTCACGAGTGTACCGTACGTCGAACCTGCCCCACCGCCAAGGTGAATGGTGGCCCACTGACATGGTTTCTCCCATTCAACACCATGGGATTTTGTTCCGTGGAAAAAATATATATCCCGTATGGGGATGGTGACGTCAATTTTCTGAATGGAAATGGGTCAAAATTGATTTGTGTTTTAAAGTGATTTCAATAATAGAATGATCTAAACTCGACAGTTATTTTGTATAGGTATCTCTTTCTAATATAATAAAATTGTAGCTAGACGATGTCTGTATATGGAAAATGTTTAAGGAAAATGGGTATGAGGGGTCTTATTTCTTATTAAGACCCCATATTATATTACTCTTGTAATAGATGTGAAAACAATAATTTATAGCATATTTTTCTATGTACATATATCTAATATAAAAAATTCTCGTGTCGCGGTGTTTGTTACCAAACTCCTCCAAAACGGCTTTACCGATTTTTATTTTCGTGTGCATATTGGGTACGACTGAGAATCGGCCAACATCTGTTTTTCATACCCCTCAATAATAGGGGTGCCCCACCCCAAAATTTTTTTTTGACAATTTTTTTTATTTTTATTTTAACATGATTTAGCATTGAAAAATACATACAAATTCAAATTTTCACGCTTTTACGATCAACCCCTGTTGTTTAATCGCAATTTTTATATGCCGCAATATGGTTGCAAGATGACAATCGAATATAATAGTTGTAGTACGATATATTTTCATATAAAGTTCTAGAAATAATGTATATGGTAAAACAACGTTTACCGAGTTAGCTAGTACACATATATATTTGTCCCGATATTGTATAAAAACTATTGTACCGAATCGGATGCGGTTTTCACAGTTATATTCATGATATTATTATTAGTATTTATTTTAATACCCTATCTAGATATCTTTTTAATTGGTTATCCTTCTTCTAAAATTTATGCATACTCAAATAGTTGACAAAAAGTTGGTATTAGAACAGAATAGAAATAATCTATATTTAAATACATTTATTTACAAGTTCTTTTAATTTGTCACTTTTTTACAAGCTTTTATTTACATTTTCTTTTATTTTTATACCACTGAGGTGGCAAATAAGTAAATGACCCACCCTAAGCAAGCGGTTACCGTAGCCTATGAACGCCTGCCACACCAGGGGCATGTGCGCATGCGCGCGTTGCTGATCCTAAAGAAACCTGTTTATCCCTCTTTTGAAGAACTCCTACATTTGCTTTAATATATTTTTCTATTCATAATTTGTCTATAGCATCGATCGTGTAAAAATTTGGCATAATTTTATAATGGATCTCTTTCTTCTTCTACTGTTTAAACTACTGACAGTTTTTGTCTTGACCTAAACTACGACACTGTATGGTGCCCATAGTCTGACGATGAAGTCATAATACAATTAAAACACATTTTCAACCGACTTCAAAAAGAGGGAGATTATCAATTCGGTAGGTATTATATTTGTTACCTCATAAATCCGTCAATTATAAAAAAAAAAATATTTATTTATTTATTTACACTTTATTGCACAAAGTGAAAAGAGAAATAACAAATACAGTAAATATTAATGAGAAGTGATACAAAAGGCGGCCTTATCGCTAAGTAATCTCTTCCAGACAACCTTTGGGTAGAGGACATTGAGAAAAAGACAAAGGGTAGGTGGCGCACTATTATATAAATATTATCATATACAAACATACATACATACATACATACACATATCCATAAGAATCCTTTTTTATCTGAATTGATTTTTTTTAATAGATGAAAATGAAATGATAACTTCACCTGTACATTCGGTTAATACTGGCGGGGCACCAGTGAGAGGATAACAGTTGAAGACGAAGGAGGGTCAGTTGGTCCACCGTGACGAATTTAATAAGAATTGATCACGATGGTTACTAGAAGAAACTACGTGGAGGTCGACCTGATAGGGTATACTGCTAACAATGGGACTGTTAGACCCCGTTACTAACAATCCCTTTCCTCCCCTACATAAAGATTATTCTATAGAAATTTTGTTATACCAAAATGACTAGTAATATCACAATTGTAGTCGATTTTTTATAGTACACAACCTTAAATTATTAAATTGTTTTTAAATAAACTTGTTTAGTTCTACCAAAGGTTCTATAGCTGAGTTCGTTATTTTTAACCCACAAAAAACATAGTAATACTTCATTATAATCATATTTACCGTTAACTGTCCACTGTTGAATATGGGCTTCACCCATAAGGAAGGTTTTTACAGTAGTTACCACGCTTGGCAAGCGGGTTGGCAACCGCAGTTACGCATTTGGTGATATATTAAGAGGGACGCTTTTAGACTTTGTACAAAAGTCGATTGCTTAGGTACCTCTGTCCTATTCGTATTTCAAACGCAAAGCAGTTGTGTTTGCATGGCTGTGTCTCGGTTTGAAGGGTGGGATATGGCGTGAATTTACAGGGTGCAGAGGAATAACACCTGAGTCCTCAGGAATGGCAACACATGGGGGGTATCATGGGCGAAACAGTATACTCTGTTATGTCTATGGTACTGCTCATGTCTATAGGCAACGGTTACCACTTTTCATCAGGCTGACGGCCCAGTCGACTTTTGTACAAAGTCTCCCTATATTCGTTTTGTCAAAACAAACTGAATTCTCACCGAGGTTTACTACAGCATGAGATTCTTCAGAAAAAGGGATAAAGATGTTTCTTCTGGGTCAGCAACGCCCATAATGCCCCTGGTATTGCAGGTGTTCATAGGCTTTGATAGCCGCTTATCATCAAGCAGGCCGTATGCTTATTTGCATAAATAAAATGGGTAATCATAATATTTGTAATCAGAATTGTATTTAAATAGTTTATTGTGTCTTTTTGCGTTTCATAAATATGTATATAAGTACTTATTATTACAAACATACAAATAAATATTATATTATAATACTGCAAGCCTTTCTGAAACGACAACAATGTCAACAAAGATGAAAAAGATGTATAAGCAATTTTCCCGCGAAAACAAAAAGTAGATAAACAAAAAATATCCATCTGTTGAGGTGCTGATAGATTAATAATGTAAAACTGTCTAATTATCATCATAGATGGCGTTATTTTATATAATCATCGTTTAAAATGCTATTACTTGATGCCTTTAATTTGATTGAGGTTATTGATTTTATATTAGTAATTTCAATATAAATCAATAGATGGCGTTATTTTTAAAATGTCATTTCACATGTACATCCAACCGCCGCGGTATGTGCGTTGAAGTCTTTTCTATGAATGTTATTTAATGTATTTTGTTTTATAACGTTTAATAAATCTTTAATACAATTTGTTTATATGACTGAGACCCGCTAACATATGCCTATAGGCATCAACAACAATATATTTTTTTTTGTTATCATTTTTAAGCAACATACAAAACAAGAGGTTCTTAATTTCCTTACCTTTTATATACATATACATATGTCATAAGCAAATCTATTCGTAGATACGTGAGATGGCGTTCTAAGTTTAAACATTTAATCTTTTAGATGTACTTTAATTCGAAATAATAATCCTTTTTTTGACGACTTCAAAAAAGAATGTCTCATCTTATTTTTTGTATGTATTATTAGTGTAAATAGTAATTATTTCTCAATCGACTTCATAAAGGACAGTCTTATTTTTTTTGTATATTTTATACAATATTTCCGCAAATGTTTTTTCCTATCGAAAATATTTACACCCACGTTGGTTCCTTATTGTGTTGCTGCTTTTCTTAAATATTGTAATAGCCAGAACATTTAGAAATAAGAGTTTTATTTGTTTCTCCTTATCAATATTATAAACATGAAAGTGAATTTATTTGTAGTCTTTTGTCATTTTAACGGCTTAACCAATCACTATGAAATTTTGTATACACATATTATGTGGGATGAAGAAAGATATAGGCTATTTTTAATACTGAGCAGTCAATATATCTCGGTCACACGGATAAAGTCGGGGGTAAAAGCTAGTATCTTATAGACATTGCTCACAGTATTAACTGTCTTATATTTGTAATTTAAAAATGCAATAAAGAATTTATAATTTCATCACCGTACAAATTTTCCTTTTGACAATATATACTGAGTATTTTTAATTAACCTCAATTTTTTCTTGTTACAGGTCCTGTGCCAATAGCTAGAAATATAAGACACTTGCCGTGCATATCAAGAAGAACGGGCCAGGAGGGCCTGTGCATGTTCGCCATAGATTGCCTTAAAGCTAACGGTTCCCATCTGGGAACATGTATAGACAGGTTCTACTTCGGATCCTGTTGTCAAATACCTGATAAGACTCTTCTTCCACAAATAATAGGCAATAATATAGAAGATAACACGATAGACAGTGGAAACTTCGTCCATCCACAAACAGAGGATAAAGTGCAGTCAACAGTTAGTAAAATACCTAATATATTCCCAACTAGAAAACCAACGACAGAGAAAATTTTAACAACACTCAAAGCAGAGACAATGCAAGATAGAACAGAACCTGATTTAGAATTAAAAACTGATGAGGAAACAACGTTAAATGATGGAAAGGTGACTACAGTGGTCACTGTAGAAACTACAACTAGAAAGCAAACCACTAAAACTACTACACCAGAAATAGTAACAGATTTACCAGTTAAACTATCGACATTCCAAACTGTTTCTGGCGATTTAACAAATTCTATCACAGAAGAACCATCTAAAGTTGATTCTTCTGAGGCTCCTAAAACAACTACAATATCTACAACTACGTCTGTGACAAATAAACCCACCAGGAGACCTATAAAACCCACATACAAACCATTCAGGCCATCAAACTTTTCTAGACCTACAATACAAACTACTACTAAACCTAGACCAACAAAACCAATTCTAGTCTTTAATACTACTAGAAAACCTCCATACAGACCACCACCTAAACGGCCATCTACTAAGAAGCCCCTACCTTCACCACCTAGATTAAATATAACTATACTACCTCAATCAACTAGCACTAGACCTGTATTTACTAGACCATCTTTTACTACAATCACTTATATAAATACAACAGTATCATCTACTGAGGAACCGACATCAACAACAACAACGAAAACATCAACTACAAGCACCACAACAACAGAACCTACAACAACCAGAACAACTACACCAACAACAACAATAACAACAACATCGACAACAGAAACCACACCCTTAGCGACTGAAAGGTTAACAGAACCAACTGAATCTGTAACAGAAATAGTAACGTCATCAATTGAACCGTCATCATCAACAACAGTTACAACTACAACAACAACTACTGCAGTTGCTCCAAGTTCGACAACAACAACGACGACAACAGAAGCTCCCTCATCGACATCGTCATCATCAACAACCACAACAGAATCAGTAAAAATAACTACGTTGGTTGAAGAATTAGTTAGTGAAAAAGAAACTTTAAAACCAGTGAGAACAACTGAAATCCCCTCATCAACCGTTTCGTCATCAGTATCATCTTCATCAACGGATTACCCACCTTTGGTGACATGGTCTACTATAGATGGTGTCACAAAAGCTCCAGAAAATGCGACTACAGCTTTAGATGGTAAGTCTAACATATATTTTTTATATCAAACTAATTCATTGCTAACACTATTTTATTTATTATATTTCCCACGATTTCTTTCACGTGAAAGCTATGGATCTACCACGAAACCTAATTCCGAAACTTCGGATCCAATTTCGTGCGTACGATTAAACACTTTCACGTAGAATTTGGGCCTGCAGACAGAAAATAATGCTTCATTCATCACAAATCTAACATTGAATTAAGCGAACAATAGATATTGTTCTATTTTTAACCGACTTCAAAAAGATGAAGATTCTCAATTCGGTCGTATTTTTTTATATTTGTTACATCATAACTCCGTTAGAATTTTTAGATTTTTTTTACCTGAAAGGATATACTTAAAGAATGCACACATACTAATGGTAGTGGAATTAAACAAAATAATTCTATTCAAATAACCAATTTCTTTCTTCTTTCTTCTTTCAATTACATTAATATCACAGAATATAGTGTTATGCTATTTTTATCTTCTTTCGATAATCGCTTCATAGTACAATGTCGTCTTAGTAAAATATGGAGGGAAAATTTTTAGTAGGTACCAATCCAAAAGGTTGACTGGTAGAGAATGCTACTAGCATTAAGTCCGCCTGTTAAATATCCCACTGTTATATGTCCATTGTATACATACAAACATGTTATCATCTACTATATATATATATATATATATATATATATATATATATATATATATATATATATATATATATATAAAGCTTAGTTTAGTTCAATTATTCGAATAAATAGATAATAATACTGGCAACTGAGAAACGCACGCGTTGCCATGGTGACCACAAATAACAGAAAAAGTTAGTTCTCATTAAAACATTTGTATAACAGAACAACGTTTTCACAAAATTAATTAAATAATTCGAGTAGTTCCTCAAGATCCTTACTCAGGATTATTCACCGCCTTTTGTAACTTATTTTATTTTGGTCAATAAAGTTATTTAAATAAATTATTGCTTACGAAAAGTTCATTCACTTTGTATGTATAACTGGTAGATGTTTAACACCTACATCGTGACCACCGAATGAATCCGCATTACTAGTTAATTCTCTTGACGTTACTTACACGCGCGAATCAATGTTAAATATTTTTTTTTCGAATTTTTCCAATGTCGTTTTAAAACGGTTTACAATTTTGCAGATTTTTCCAAAAACAGAAGTCTCGATTCGTCAATATTTTGTCATGTTAAATATGTCAAATCAATAAAGTCGTATTTATATACTAGCAACGCGCCCCGACTTTGCATGGATGGGTATTTATCTTTAGATCGATATAACTTTCTTATTTATGAACCGATTGAAATAAAATAAACACTAAATATTAATTGGAACAAACCGCAATGCATTAGTAAAAACCGTATTCGAATTGGTTAACCCGTTTCTGAGATTAGTGTGCACAAACATACAGACAAACAGATAAAAATTCTAAAAACCATTGTTTTAGGTTCTATTGCGTTCATAAAGCTATAATAGTTTTTTTTTATATATCTTCCATATACTATTTTATTATATGTATTGATATTTTTAGAAAATTATTCAAGAATTTCCTTAATAATTAATATTTATATAAAAAATAAACTACCTACTAAGTAGAAATACAAGTATGGTAATGAATCGTTACTAGGGTAGGTGTACAAAGGTTTAAGAAAAATCGCGACCTCAATTACGAATTGATACGGAAATAAATTTTATCGGTTGCGTAAAGAATAATTAAAATCGGTTCAATACTAGCTGCGTAATGTCCAAAATAAGATAATTTCCTATAATATGGTATAAATAATTTCATAAAAAAACGACTTCAACTGTGGTAAAAGTGTGGTAAACTATTTCTTTTAAATTGACAGATATCTTCGACATTTCCACAATACGGTAACTTGTGAGTTATAAACGCTCTTAATACTCCGTTTTTTAATATAACGTCCAACAATATAATTATGTGTTTCACAAAAAAAAAACAGACTTTAGTTATGTTAAAACCAGTTATTTTGATTTAAAAAACTAAACTAGTGTAACGTATACCAGAGGGAGACTTTGTACAAAAGTCGTTTGCTTGGGTACCTCTGTCCCATTCGTGTTTCAACCATGAAGCAGTTGTGTTTGCATGGCTGTGTTTCGATTTGAAGGGTGGGATATGGCGTGAATTTACTGGGTACAGAGCAATAACATCTGAGTCCTCAGGATGGCAACGCATGGGGAGTATCATGGGCGAAACAGTATACTCTGTTATGCCCATGCTACTGCTCATGTTTATAGGCGACGGTTACCACCTTCCATCAGGTGAGCCGTCAGTTTGTTTGCCATTCTAGTAATATATAAAAAGAAAAAAAGATTTTAAAAAAAATCTGCAAGACCAATCTATAAATTCTGAGGTAATTAACATAAAAAAAATACAATTGAAATAAGAACCTGCTTCTTTTGAAAGTTGGTTGAATTTTTATTTATTTATAATATTATCCTTTTACTAATTCACACTCGAGACGTGTTATTAGCTATCTTTTTTTTCTTAATTCGCTTGTAATTTCGAACGAATCCAATAAAGGAAAAGATTCTCACTTCTTTTTTTTTTTTACACAACTTAGAATGGCAAACAAGGTAACGGCCCACCTGATGGAAACTGGTAACCGTCGCCTATAGACATGAGCAGTACCATGGACATAACAGAGTATACTGTTTCGCCCATGATACCCCCCATGCGTTGCCATTCCTGAACACTCAGGTGTTATACTCTGTACCCAGTAAATTCACGCCATATCCCACCCTTCAAACCGAAACACAGCCATGCAAACACAACTGATTCACGGTTGAAACACGAATGGGACAGAGGTACCTATTCAAGCGATCGACTTTTGTACAAAGTCTCCCTCTGGTCTAACTCCTTAATTGAATAATAACACTTGTCCACGATTACAGTCTTATTTTTCGCTTAACAGAACTCGCCTGTTATTTATATATACATGGGCGTTTATATTATTATTACTAAGCACATTATCTTGTACGTCACAGCATAGAGATGTTATTACTTTTTGTTACCACCACCCACGTGCGAATACCACGAATTGTCAAGATCAATGACTCCCTGGCCGTTACACCTTGTTCTTACATCTTTACACTAGTCACTCGCTCCGACTTCGCATGACCTTTATCTTTACACTAGTAACTCGCTCCGACTGAAGGAGGGGGATTGTTAATTATGGTGATGAAGGTCCCCATTGCTAGCAATATAGTCTGGGGGGGACTGGAGGTCGGCCTGGTTGGACTTAATTACAAGTGTATTCATCACGATGGGCTAACTGACCTGTCTTCATCCTCACCTATCATCCTCCACTGGTGCCCCGCCAGCGTATATCGATAGCGCAGACGGGGTTAATATTTCATCATTACCCATTAAAAAAACTCGCTCCGATTTCACATGACCTTTATTTTTACACTAGTCACTCGCTCCGACTTCGCGCGGGTTTTTTAATTAAACCACCCATGTCACTCGCTGACAAAGTAACTTTCTATATATGAAAGTATGTTTAAAATCGGTTAAGTATTTTTAATGTTTATCCATTACAAAATAAAATTAAATCTTGCTTTTTTTTGTAATGCAAGTTTTTTTTTTATACCACTGAGGTGGCAAACAAGCATACGGCCCACCTGATGGTAAGTGGTTACCGTAGCCTATGAACACCTGCAATACCAGAGGTATTACGCGTGCGTTGCCGACCCTGAAGAAACCTCTTTACCCCCCTTTTGAAGAACCCCATGCTGTAGTCTCTTGGGAAAACCTCGGCAGGGAGCTCATTCCACAACCTGAGTGTTTGTGGGAGAAAACATCTCTGAAACCGCGCAGTACGCGACCATTGAGTTTAGACTGGATATGTCGTCGCGGACTTTAGAATTAGGTAATAAAACATAAATTATATTATTATAATATTTTGCGACCTTCAGTATGACAATTATAAAAACCGCATCCAATTTGGTGTAATAATTTTCGCGTGATGCCAAAACAAACATACAAAAAAATTAAAAAAATAAAATATTGTTTTGGCTTCTTTTGCTCTTATTAAGATACGTCATATATGTAATTTTGTCATAAATAACGCCAATGTAAAGACATATTTTATGTTAGTATTTTTCACTAGAACAGTTCAATTGTCATTGTATATTTATTTATGTTTCTGTTGTCATAAATAGTTAAATAAATAAATAAATAAAGACGTCGCCCAGTTACAATCTAATATATAAAATTCTCGTGTCGCGGTGTTTGTTACCAAACTCCTCCGAAACGGCTTTACAGATTTTTATGAAATTTTGTGTGCATATCGGGTAGGTCTGAGAATCGGCCAACATCTATTTTTCATATCCCTCAATAATAAGGGTGACCTACTTCAATTTTTTTTTTGACAATTTTTTTATATTTATTTTATTATGATTTAGCATTGAAAAATATATATAAATTCTAATTTTCACGCTTTTACGATCAACCCCTGTTTTCTAATCGCAATTTTTATATACCGCAATAGGGTTGCAAGATGACAATCGAATATAATAATTGCAGTACGATAAATTTTCATGTATAGTTCTCGATTCTCTGTATATGGCAAAACAACCTTTGTCGAGTCCGCTAGTTTTATTACATTAATAAGATAACATTGCCAATTCTGAACCGATTTTGATAATTATTTTTATAATCGATCCTATATTAAGTTTGTGTTAAATAAAGATATCGTTTATTATAATCATATAGTCTGCTCATATCCAACATTAGAACAAATCAAAGATTTTTTTATACAACTTAGAATGGCAAACAAGCTGACGGCCCACCTGATGGAAAGTGGTAACCGTCGTCTATAGACATGAACGGTACCATGGACATAACAGAGTATACTGTTGCGCCCATGATACCCCCCATGCGTTGCCATCCCTGAGGACTCAGGTGTTATTCCTCTGTACCATGTAAATTCACACCATATCCCACCCTTCAATTAGTTATTAGCAAGAAGCTGAGTTTTAACCATTTTGTGTTACGCATGAAGGGAAAAATTAATACTTATTTTATGCATTTTGTTTTTATTTTTTGTATATGTATTTTTTTTTTATCTTATTTCGCTGTGCATTTATGTCTATTGTTGTTTATGTGCTGTAATGCAAATAAGTTATCTGGCTATCTTTTCATCTATCTTATTTATTATGTACATATGTATACGTATTTATTTATTAGTGTTATGAGTCATGACTCACAAGTCACATATCACGTGAGTGACTCACTGACGGAAGGAATGCCAAATTGAGATTCGAAAGCTTTTTTCATCTTGTCACTAGAAAGTGTGCGTCCCACTCGAAAACAAGGTATTTCTAGAATACCTGATATTAAATAAAACGGAATTACAATAGATTATGTTTCACAAAATAAAAATTAACTGTCCTATCTTTAAATTATTAAACTAAATTTCTAATGTAGGTAGTATATTAATTTAGTTTATTATTTGCTATTTTTTTGTAGGAAACAATAAATAGTCTATCTTAACTAATATTATAAATTCTAAAGTGAGTTTGTTACGCTTTCACGCCTGAATCGCTTAATTGATTATAATGAATTTTAGTATAGGGATACATGTAAACCTGGAAACGTTTATACACTACTGTTTCTTCCGATGGGATGAGGAAAATGAAGGAAAAAGTAATTTTTGTACGATAGATAGATACTCTTTATTGTTTCTTCCAAAAGATTACAATAGTAAACTTATTATAAATATAATTAATTACAAGAAATAATCACAGTGAGAAAACAATGGGCGACCTTATCACTAAAAGCGATCTCTTCCAGGCAACCTTTGGATGGAGAGGAGTAATTATAAACAGTTTGATCGGAGGCACGATGAAGATCCTATTATTTCTAAATATGGAGATGTAACACATGTAATAATGTAAATATATATCCCTATTCACTATTACGAATTTTTTTATTGCGTCGTCCGATTTGCATCAAACTTTGCAGACTTATATATTGTTTATAATTCATAAATAAAGTATACATATTTCTTATCTCAAATTACTTCTTAAAAGAGGTGGATTTCTTTTTATAACTATAGATAGAGATAACTATCTACACCAAAAATCGGAGTTGTTAAACAAAAGCCAATTAATGCGAGGAAACTCACGAGTAAAAGCTGTTTATAAATGACGGAGTTATGAGGTAACAATCATAAAAAATGCTGTGTGGTCCCAGTATAGAATAAGCCACCCCCTCCCTTCCCATGGGTGCAGTAAGAGCTAACTAAATGAACTTAAAGATTGAGGTATCAAATTATTAAAAGCTTAATTATGGTTGCCAACCGTTTTTCAAGCGTAACAACTGTTAGTACGACCCCCCTTATGGGGGAGACTTATGTTCACCACTGGACAGTTAACGGCTGATATGATGATGCGATGAATCATAAAAAATACGACCAACTTAAAAACCTCCTCTTTTTTGTAGTCGGTTAATAATTTACATATACTCTCACTTGCAAATTCTAATTGCAATGTACGGAGAATTGCAATATTTCTACCAATAATTGTATGTACGTTTGGCCATCACATTAACCAACGGGTCACGTATGTAGGCCGCAGGCCACGACGGGTGACATCGCATTGTATTGTCTCAGTGAAACAGTACGGTTTACTTTCATTGCTAATGGCGAAGCGAACCAGAGAACTCACTTAGTGTTTTAATTAATAGCTTCGTTGTTCATAAGCGACTTCCGAAAACACGAATTTCTTAATGCATTTGTTTTTCAACCGACTGCTGTGAAAAGGAGATTCTAAATTTGGTTTTTTTTGAAGTTCGTTACCTCATAACTCCGTCAGTTGTAAACCGATTTGGAAATTTCTTTTTTTATATGAGAGATTATACTTTCAATATGGTCTTATAGACATTTTATCAAAATCGGTTCAGCAGTTTTAAATAAAAATAACAGATTTTCTGACGTCAGTTTTTTGTGAAACAAAACCTTATTGTGTGTATAATTCAAAGACATATTAGACTTAAAATATTTAAATTAAAAAAATCATATTTTTAAGTTAGCCCTTAATGAGTACAGCTGTGCAAATCGCATTCAAATTGGTGTAGTAGTTTTTGCGAGTTAGTGGAACAAACATACAGACAAATAGACTGACAAACGAAATTTCTAAAAAATATTGTTTCGATATTTATTGGTATTATTGAGACCCCCCCCCCCTTTATTATTTTTTTAAATATCTCCCATGTACAGACATCGTCTTGTTACAATTTTATTACAATAAAAACTCTTTACTCGCGGATCATAAGTTCCGTAAATATACCGCGAATACAGAAACCGTAAATATGGACAACCGAACCACTTAAACAGCGACAATGGCATTTGACAACATACTTTAGGCGCAATTGTAATAAGGTCCGTTTTACTCTTTTATTAGTCTATTTGCCGACATGTTTACAAACACCACCTAATCCTTTTTTTAATAATACGTACCGATTAGATCCTCGAATATAGAAATCTTTAGCCGCGAATATAGGAATTGGGTCGCAATTTTTTAATCCGCGAATAAAGGAAGCGTGAATAAAGAGATTTAATTGTATAGTAGTAGGATTAGTATTAAAATTCTAAATATCGTCATTTCATTGAATAACGTAACGATTACTTACTTTGTTTGTGACCAACATTAAAGTGGCTTTTTTGCATAAATAAATATTAATCTCTTTAAAAACGGTCACAAACAACGTTCAACGTGAGTGTATTTGGCAACACTGACAAATTTAGTGGGATTACAGTACGATATTGGCAATACACCAAGTGTGTCAACGGTGCTAAGGTCGGGGACGCACGAACACGCGTACTCGTGACTATGGTGGCACACTTTCCGCGCTTTTAGGGACAAAACGTGCGTTTTAGTTTTTAGTAGATTTTAACTTGACATTATTAAGCTTCTCCAGCTGTTTTCAACGGTTTTATCCACATATATCAGTATAAAAAGTATGCTGTGTATTAAGTTAGGATATAGCCTACTCTGTGGGCTTGACCTTGTGGTCCCAGCATAGAATGGCCACCTCTTGCTATATATTATTCACACTTGAATTGTATTTCTTTGAGAAAATGAATATCTTAAATTAAAATAAACCATAAGCAGATTTTGCATTGAATAAATTTTAGAATAAGTAAATTTTTTACTTCACCCCTTCCTTTCTTTCGGCTCTTATGACACCCACGGGAAAGCTCTTAAACATCTCTAAAGCCTGACTGCGGTTGCCAATCCGCCTGGCAAGCGTGGCAACTACTGACAAAACTTCCCAAGGGGTAGGTTTATGTTCAGCAGTGGACAGTTAAAGGCTAGTATGATGATAACCTACTTGTATAGCAAGTTTCATTGAAATCATAATTTATTTATATCTATCTATCTATCTATTTAAGAGCTGCGCTCTTGTCGGTGGAGATCTTGCCACTCACTACGATTTTTAGCGAGTCTCTTCACCTCTTGATACGACACGACACCAACTCCTTCCTTGATCTGACTGATGTAACTATGTCTCGGTCTCCCTCTTCCCCTTCTTCCTTCTATCTTATCTTCTATTATAATGTTCATAAATTCGTCGTGTCGTATCAAGTGTCCCAACATTTTTCTCCTTCTGTCCTCAATAGTTCTAATAATTTGTCTTTTTTCCTTAACCCTAAGCAGGACCTCCTCATTGCTAATTCGATCCCTCCAGCTAATTTTCTCCATCCTTCTCCAGCACCACATTTCAAAGGCTCTAAGTTTATCCATTTCCTTCTGAGTTAATGTCCACGTCTCACATCCATACAGAGATATACTATTTATTTATAATACAATAATATTTATTAATTATAAATTTTCACGTTAATAATATTACTAGGACTAGTGTTTACCAGCGACTTTGTCCGTGTAAATAGGATAGTTATATTCACTTTTCAACTAACTTCAAAAAGAATAACGTTCTCAATTTAGTTGTATTTAAGTTTGTTGTCATAACTCCATCAGTTCTAAACGGATATGGAAAATCATTGTTTTACCTGAAAGGATATACTAACAGATTGGTTCCATAAAAACTTTATCAAAATCGGTTCAGTAGTTTAATTTTTAAATCGAAGTAACTGGATTTATTGCAATTGAAGGCAGTTTTGTTTTATGGAATATAGTCTTTAGTTATATAAAAAGTAGCCCATATCTTTCTCCATTCCAAATAGTGCGTATACTGTATACTAAATTTCATGACGATATGTTGAGCCGTTAAGACGTCAAGTAGTAACAAATAGACGAACAAATAATCTTATTTTCATACTTGCAATAGTAAATCAATATTTATTAAAAGGGTTGATTTGACATTTTAAAAAAATATTGTATTATTTTTTCAGAAAATTGGTCACCCATCACCCCACCTGAAGGTTGGATTCTTATATCCACCATTCCACCTAAACAAGACACCTCTTCAACTACTTCCACCACAACTACAACAACTACGACGACAACAACAGAAGCGCCAACGACGATTTCTGAAGCAACAACAATATCAGAACTAGAAACGACCGTGCCTATAACCGAGACGACTGCGAAGCCGTCAACCGAAGTAATATCATCAGATGCTACAACAACAACCACGACAACAACAACAACAATACAAGCAACAGAAAACACAACAGTTAAAGTAACAGAAGCGCCGCTACTAGAATTTACAGTGAACGTCACATTATCACCAACAATGCCGACAACAACAACAGCGGGACCGACAACAGAGAATGTTACAGAAGTCGAAACAACAACGACAAATGTAACTGATGTGGCGACTACTGCTTCTAACGCGACAACAATTTTGCCCGGTAAGTAATAGGCATTGTAAGATCTATTTCAGTAGAACTTCAGGAAAATGTAAACATACAAATAATTAAAAGTTAATATTATATTTTAATATAATAATTACTGGTTTAATTTACGTGTAATTAGATTGAAAAAGCTCGACTAGTTTATACTAATTTACGTTTTGTAGACGCAAGCGCGAGCCTGACTGATTCGCGCTCGCGCCATAACTGCTCATGACCAAGGATCACGAATTGACCCCGAAACTAGTCGAGCTTTCTCAATCTAATTACACGTAAGTTAAACCGGTAGTTTTTATAATATAATATAAAGAAATAATTTAATCAATCATAAGGCAGTCTGATAGTGTTCAATACAGATAAAAAATATCTATTAATTCGATCCGAAACTTTTTTTTTATGCAACTTAGACTGGCAAACAAGCTGACGGCCCACCTGATGGAAAGTGGTAACCGTCGCCTATAGAAATGAGCAGAACCATGGACATAACAGAGTATACTGTTACTAGACGGACAACCTTGATGTTAAATTTATGAGTAAAGCCGTCATATAATTATAACATATATATTATTATAATATACTAGCTATATCCTCCGGCTGTGGTCGTATCGTGATGTCGAATATCCTATAGCCTTGCTTAAAAAATAAATTATCTAATGCAAAAAGAATTCTTCCAAAACGACCGATAGTTCCAAAGCTATCCACTGCTGGACTGCTGGCTGTCTGCTGCTCCCTTATAGACTGCCACAAGGAATCGTCCTGAACCACCTGCATCCACTTACTCCTTGCAATGCATTTGAGGTTATCACTCTATCTAGCGGAGGGTCGTCCTACACTGCGTTTGTCTGTACGCGATCGCCACTCAAGACTCTTTCGTTCCCACCAGTCTTCAGTTCTTCGAGCTATGTGACTAGTTCATTGTCACTTCAGCTTACTTAACCTTCTATTATTTTACATTATTACCTGGTGGAAAGTGGTGACAGTAGCCTATAAAGATGAACAGTACCATCACAGAATTCAATTCGAGCATTGCTAATTCTGAGGCTAGCTAATCCTGTTGTAATGACTTCTATCTCCTTTGAAAAATACACTTTATATCTTGAGGAGATAAAAAACATCTTAAATTGCCTATCATTGAGAGGAATTAGCAACGAACTTTAAAAAAAGGGTGAGCACGAAAAATCATGGGAAGATCGTAGTGTCACAGGCTTTTCTGCCTGAAAAAACCCCTCTTTCAATTATCTATATATTAATACGTGAAGCAAAAACTTTGTACCCCTTTTTACGAAAATTGCGCAGATGGAGGAGTATGAAATTTGGCACACTTATAGTTTATATAAAGTTATAAATTATACATCAAAATACATTAAATCAATAATAGAAAAAAAAAACATTACACACACTACCGTGTATTTTACACACACAAACACATACATATACTCTTTTGTTTATTGTTAAAGTCTGTGGTCAAATTGAGAATAGATTAATATTGTTTGTCTGTTAATATTATTTGTCTATAGTCTCACTGAATGTCAAACATAAATATTTTTGTGCTATGTTATTTCAAATGAAAACGCAAATATATGGCACTGTAATAGTATAAAAACAAGCAAAAAAAAATAGTAATATAAAAGCTAGTAAATAAATGTTTGTGACGATGAAACGATCGAAGTTTGTTAATCTATCACACAAAAACCACTAAACGGACTTAAATTTAATACACAGATAGGTTATATCCTAGCTTAGCACACAGGATACTTAATTAGGTGCATTAATTAACGCAGGCGGAGCCATAGGACGCGTTATATAAATTATATACCCATCTAATAGTGTTTACTTATTTTTTCAGATACAACGAACACTACAGTAGACAATATGCAGTTTTTGCCAGACTCCGTGAATATGTCGGACTATAAGAGCGGTAAGTAATAACTTTAATTTAAAATTACTTACAATTGAAAAGAGGAAAGGAGGATTATATCAGATCCTTAGACTATTTCTAAAGTGAAAAAAGTGTTGTCCTCCTCTCTCGTACTTGCTGTGCCGAACACGGTCCATAATTGAAGTTGAAATGTTATCTACTAATTACATTATGGAATGCAATAAGAAATAAATTAATAAATACATATGGAGACATTTTTATGTTACAGTTTGTAGTGCAGTAGAAAAATAATTGTCTAAAAAGAGGTTTATTAGTTGCCAATTTAGCACTTCACATCATTATCATCATCATTTCAGCCGTTATCTGTCCATTGCTGGATATAAGCCTCGCCCATAGATCACCATAAGGAACGGTCGACCTCCACATGGTTTCGCCTGGAAACCATAGTAGTTAATTTTGTTCAATTCGTCACTATGAACCAACTGACCTGCCTTCATCCTCACCTATCACCCTTCACTGATACCCCGCCATCTGTACTGATAGCGCAGGCGGGATTACTATTCCATCTTCACTCATTAAAAAAACCTCGAATGCAAGGAGTCAATGGATGCAGGTGGTTTAGAATCATTCCTTATGGTAGTCTGTGGTGGAGAACTATATTCCAAGTTCAACAATAGATGATTAACAGCTGAAATGACGTTGACGATGATATTCCGTGACAGTACAATGAATGTTTTGAATTATTATCCTTGTAGTAAGTAAATGATAAAGCTCAAACCGTAAATTCCAAAGTCGTTTCCAACCAGTTTGTGTAGCGAAAAAAATCTAGACAGAAATTATGCAAATAAACAAGTAGCTGTTTTAAATAGTCTATAGAATCATTAAGTTGATTTAAGTCAATGATAAATACACTCGCAAATGTCATCCCAGAAGAATATTACTTGTTTAGTCTTAAAAGATTTTCGTCAAAATATAAAAATGTTATTAACCCTTAAATACCTGAAGTTTCAAATTTGATACCGGGGCTTGCATTGTTTCATTGTTAAATAAATTTAAATATTTTGATTACCGTAATGCCTAAAGTATCAAAAATTATACCAATTGTTTTTTTAAAAATGAATATATAAAAATATCGTATTGATTTTTTTTTTTACTATTTTTCCCCATTAGTAAACACAGTAAAGGGTATACTTATATATTTTTTAATTAGATTTTTTAAATCAGGCTTTTAAGGGTTAATGACAACGAGAGTCATTTATGTCTATTGAAAAAGAAAAAAAATAATAAAATTATTGTAATGTATGTCCAGAGATATCGAAATAAAAACGCAAGATTACTATTACTTGTTTACTGGTCGGTTACAGACTAAATGACATTTTGTTTCTTAGTTACCTTCAATAGTGTAACTTGATACCCTCAAATACTACAATCCCTCCCCCACTTATTCTTAAAAAAAAAAAAACTAAATTAAAAACTATAAACAAAACATTTTAAATTTACCTAACCTAGAGTTTATAATTAACCTTTTTCATTCTTGTGGATCGTATTGGATTTCGGCCTCTTTTAATAACCGTAGGTTCAGCTTCTGTAACCATCGTATGATCATACTGATGGCCCCTCAACTCTGTCACCGGCGTTGGCACTAAAGCTGAGGTCGATGGGACAGATATTTGTTTCTCCTGAGGATCATTTTCTATGGGAAGTAGTGACAGGGGAGTTGACGTCGTTTGTTCAGCGGTTGTTCCTACTGAGTTATGGTCTGGTATGGAGACGAAAGAGTCATCATGTGAAAATTCTGCCTGAGATGAGCTTGATGTTTCTGGTAACTCTGGAGCGCAGACATCTGGATTGGTGATTGCTCCTTCCGGAACTATAGGTTGACACACAACCTCTGATGAAACTGTCTCTTCCCTCATGTTTCTGTCCGTCCCCTCCCCAACAATGGAGTAGTAATCACTTAGGCTAATATCATCTAAATCCTGAGATAAGTCAGTTCCTTTATAGGCCAATAACTGATCCACATGTTTTTTTACATGACAATTTAATTCTGGTACAAAAATAACATACATCCTAGAACCAATTTTTCGTTGTATTGTTCCCAATTTCCATATATGTTTCATGCCATTTTTAAAAATATGTTTTACCAAAACTTTACTTCCTGTTGAAAAGTCCGTCCTGCGATGTCCTCCAAATTGTTTACGCTGTAAGGTCTGTTTAACAAAAACATTGTTTTGAACTGTGGATGCTAACGACTCAGATGTATTATTATTGCTATTAGGTTGAATAACGCGTAACAAATCGAGCCGGCAGCGCAGTGCTCGCCCTAGTAATAGTTGCGCTGGTGAAAAACCGGTTGTGCAATGTGTCGAATTGCGATAATTGAATAAAAAATTGTTTATTTTTTTCATAATATCTTTTTGATGTGTGTTTTCTCTTAAAATATTCCGTACACCCTTCTTTAACGTCTTCACGCTATTTTCAGCCTGACCATTGGACGCCGGGTGGTATGGTGCTATAGTGACGTGTTTAATACCATTTAATACACAAAAATCCTCAAATTGCGTGGAACAAAAATTTGTCGCATTGTCTGTCACTAACGTGTGAACCAATCCAAACCTACTAAATATCTCATTTAGTTTATTAATTACCGACTGGCTATCGGTATTAGACATTAAAAAACACTCAATCCATTTTGAATAGGCATCGACAGCTACTAAAAACTGATGCTTGTCAATTGAAAACATGTCCAAATGAATGCGTTCCCAAGGTCGTGCTGGGAATGCCCACGGCGCGAGGGGAGAACGAGGGGGTAAACTACGCTGAGAATTGCATAAACTACAAGAACCTATTTTTTCTTCAATATGTCTATCAATATTTGGCCACCAAAAACGAGTTCTTGCTTCCGTTTTTGTACGTACTACCCCAAAATGGGAACTATGCAATTCATTCAATATGTGCTCTCTGAACTTGTGAGGAATTACTACTTTATGACCTCGTAAAATACATTCATTCTCTAAGGATAATTCGAAACGACATAAGAAATAAGGCTTTATATTAATATCTGTCATCTTGGGGGCCATCCCGTTTTAATATAATAAGCTACTTTCTTCAAAATTCCATCTAAACCTGTTTCTTTTTTAATGTCCTCTACTGTGATAGGTTTTAACATTGAGTCTTCAATAAAATTTATATAAGTTATGGGATCAATATTTAATTTATTTTTATCGTCGAACATTTCCATTGCATTTACACTACGCGACAAAAAATCTGCTACGTTATTATCTCCTTTAATGTATTCAATTTTAAAATTATACGCAGATAAAAATAGGGCATAGCGCTGTAATCTGTTTGCTGCCATCTCTGGGACTCCTTTTTTATTACCAAAAATCGATATAAGTGGCTTGTGGTCTGTACGCAAAATAAAAGGGGTCGAACGCCCATATAAATAATGGTGGAATTTTTTTATCGCAAATACAATCGAAGTAGCTTCTTTTTGAATTTGTGCGTAATTACGTTCAGAGTTAGATAAGGAGCGTGACGCGTAGGCGACCACGCGTTCCGTGCCGTCTGGTTGCCGCTGCGCCAACACAGCGCCCAGCCCCTGCGGTCCGGCGTCCGCCGTCACTATGGTCTGGTACTCTGGACTGTAATGAGCCAATACCCGATCTGACGACAATTCTGACTTAATTTTATTAAAAGCTCCATTTTGTTCTTTCCCCCACGTCCACTTAGTGCCTTTTTTTAATAAAGCGTGCAATGGACTTAATACACTAGATGTGTTAGGAACAAAACATCTATAATAATTTATCATTCCTAAAAATGATTTAAGCTCTGTAACGTTTTTTGGACAATTACTATTAATTATAGCGTTTACTTTACTTTCTGATTTATGCAAACCATTTTTATCTATACGAAAACCTAAGTATTCTACACAATCTTTAAAAAGATCGCACTTTTCCCGTTTCAAACGTAAACCAGCTTCTTGTAGTCTCCACAAAACCTGTTCTAACCTATTCAAATGTTCTTCTTTTGTAGACCCTGTGATCAAAATGTCGTCTAAAAATATACATGTACCCTCTATATCACCTAATAACTGTTCCATTGTGCGCTGAAAAATAGATGGCGCGTTAGATAAACCGAAAACTAAACGATTATAAATAAACAAGCCCTTATGTGTGTTAATACATGTTAAATATTTAGAATCGTCCAATTCTAGCTGGTTGTAGGCCCTGGATAAATCTAATTTAGAAAATTGTAATCCGCCATGTAATTTCGCAAATAAATCTTCGATGCGCGGCAATGGATAATTGTCCATAAGTAATGCTTTATTTAGCGTCACTGAAAAATCGCCACAGATCCTGATACCACCATCAGAACGCAATACCGGAATGATCGGTGTAGCAAATTCGGAATGTTCTACTCTTTCCAAAATACCTAAGTCCGATAATCGCTGTAACTCACCTTCTACTTTATGTTTCAACGCTAAAGGTACCGGGCGAGCTTTGAAAAATTTCAATTGAATATCCGGTTTAATTTTTAAATGTACCCTGTATTTATTAAATGTACCCAGTTCATTTCTAAACAGCTTTTCATACTTTTTAATAAGAAAACTATCGATATTATATTTTTTTAAATGATTTAAATCATGTAGCGTGCTACATAATTTCAATTTAAAATTACTTATAAAATCCCTGCCCAATAATGCCGGTTGATTATCGTGAGTAACGATAACAAACAATTTAATGAACTTAGTACATCTCTCAAACGTTATCGGTAATGATACATACCCCAACGGTGATATTTTACTTCCATAATAGCAATTCAACACAACATTACACGATTTAAGGTTATGTTTATTTTTAAAATATGACTGGTATATATCGTCCGGTAAAACTGATACCGCGCTGCCGCTGTCTATTTCACACAATATGTCGCTATTGTCTATAGTAACTACCTGACGCATCGGTTGCCCGTCTATACACTCGATACTAAATAAATCAAAATTACCTTCTACCACGTCGTCGTTATCATCCACAGTGACCAAGTATTTACAACTGTTCACTTTTGATTTACACATTCGTTGCAAATGTCCCTTCTTATTACACCTTCGACATATATATTCTGAATAACGACACTTTTCTTTCGAATGGTTTTTGTAACCACACACATCACACGGTACGTTCTGACTTGCTGTTCGAGCTGGACGAGATCTCGCCGCCGGCGCCACCGGCGCCGCTGGTGTCCCGGTGCGGCCGATGCCGGTATGCAACGCATATACCGGTTGTTGCTGGTGCGCTGTCCCTGTCTGCCCGTGACGATTGCAATGCCAAGCGCGAACACCGCACTCTCTGTGCTATTTCCAGCGCATTGTTAAAAGTCAAAGTATCAATGGATTCGGCGAATAATTTTTCCTTCTCTTTTACGTTTTCCAATCCAAGAATAAAACGATCTCTCAAGGCGGTATCTAACTCCGTTTTAAAACCACAATACTGTGCTAAATGTCGCACTCGCGCTGCCCATTCTGCTAATTCTTCTCCCACCCGCTGTTCTGCTTTATAAAATTGGTATCGCTCCGCAAATGTACTCTTTTTTTCACAAAAATGCGTATCCAATTTTTCTAGAAGCAATTTAAATTCCTCATTCTCCAAAGGCGTAGGGAAAACAATATCCCGGGCTACGCGGTATGTATCTTCCACCAAAGCAGTTAATAATAATGCGCGTCGTTTCACTCCACTTTTATCACTTCCGTCATTTATATCGTTTGCAGTGCAGTATTGGATAAAACGACTCTTGAATATACCCCATTCTTGTGAGCGGTGGTCAAACGTGAGACTGCCCCCGAACAACATATTTCCGTAACTTGCCATCACTTCTACGATATCTATTTATAAATACAGCTTTAATTACACGTGTGAATTATTTCTCGTCGCCAATATGTAATGTATGTCCAGAGATATCGAAATAAAAACGCAAGATTACTATTACTTGTTTACTGGTCGGTTACAGACTAAATGACATTTTGTTTCTTAGTTACCTTCAATAGTGTAACTTGATACCCTCAAATACTACAATTATATATAAAGAAAATGAGATATATATAATAAAAGGTCTACTTAATTAAACTCCTTTAAAGTCGTTTGCTTGAGCACCTTTGTCCTATTCGTGTTTCAAACGTGAAGCAGTCGTGTTCGCATGGCTGTGTTTCGGTTTGAAGGGTGGGATATGGCAGTAAATTTACAGGATAAAAAGTAATAACACCCGAGTCCTCAGGAATGGCAACGCATGAGAAGTATCATGGGCTAAACAGTATACTCTGTTATGTCCACGGTACTGCTCATGTCTATAGGCGACAGTGACCACTTTCCATCAGAGGGCCGTCAGCTTGTTTGCCATTCTAAGTTGCATAGAACAAAGATTAATGATATATTCACAAATGGTTAATCAAAGAAGGCACTAACATTGCATGCGACTGTACTAGGAAGAGCTAACTTAATATTCCACGCAAATTTCCTCAATTAAAACACAGTTTGTAATTGCACATTACGTCAACTGTACAATGGGTCTTATTTGAGACATACTTAATATTAGCCCCTTCGTGTCTTAAAATACAGTGGAATAACAATAGAGGTAGGAATTAAGTTGTGAATTAATGATTCCGTACTATTACATTACATTTTTTTTCTCTCGTGAAGTGTACAAGAGAATAAAAAAGAATAAATACAGTAAAAATATAAGCAGTACACATAATTCATTGTTTTGGACTAGAGGGAAGTATAGAAGTTATCTGCTTGAGTGCCACTATCCCACTCGTGTTTCTGCCGTGAAGCAGTTCTTTTGTTGTGTTTTTATGGCAAATATCGAGTTTAGGGGTGGGATATGACAGTGAAATTACAAGGTACAGAGGCGTAATACCATTATAACTTCAACTATAAAGGGAGATGATAGGATTTATTAGAGAGCGACTACAAGTCACCTACGGAGTATCTCTGCCCTACTTATGTTTCTACTATGAAGCAGTCCTTGTATAGAAGTATTTCAGTTTGAAGCTTGGAATAGGCAGTGAAATAATTTTCTTTCTTTAACTCTCACGAGTGGAAATGCGTGAAGGATACCGTGAACGGACAGTGTTGTGCGAAGTATGGGGACAATTTAAGTCTCGTCTCTTATACACCATAGACAATGCAACTCAAAAGTCTAAAAGTTAATAATAAAAACCATTTTTCGTTATGTGGCCCGTCAATTTATTGGTCACTCCAAATTGCATTAAAAATTAAGGCTGACAAATAACGTTCATAACATGACAGTGTGAAAGCGAATTAGTTAGAAAAATGGTAATTGAAAAAGGGCACGCTATGTAGATTCGAATAAATAAAAAAAAATCACATTAATTACTGATTTAACAGAACTTATCGCGAAAATCGAAAGAAGTAAATCACCAAAAATAGTTAACACCTTTAACAAATTGAATATATCTATATGTGAAATAAAGGTGAAGTGAGGTTATAAATATGACGATATAGTAATAAAATAAAATTAGACACTATTTGTGGAATATAAATGACTCTGCCAATTGTATCAAAAACAAATTAATAGCTATTGATTAATAAAACAAAATTTAAATTAATGAGTTTTTTTTTTCCACGGAATTCTAAATGTCTCCGCAAAACAGCCAGGTCAAAGAACTGGCATGCCAGTATCCAGCAAATGCGAATAAACAAAAAAGTCGAGTCCATTCCGAGTTCAAATTCAAACAAAGAGTTGTCAGTGGCCGATGCGATCGCACGTCACGGCCAAGGCAAGGGCAAGGACGCGTTGCACATGTTGGCGGTTGAACTGCGTTCCATTTTTGAAATCTTTATTGAATATTATTTTATTTTTTTAAACAAGGGACATTTATTTTTAAAGCCAAGGCAAGGCTGTATGGATATTTAAAAATTAAAAGATAAGAGACAGTCCTCGTGCCGTAGTTTGTGTTTTGTGAACGCGATGAATTTAAATAGTGCTATGCAGCGTGCATTGCATTGGATACTTTAAAGAAATATAATCATAAGCAAAGAGTACAGGAAATAATGGATTAAGAATCAACTGATCAAGTGTAATAACTCAAGATTGAACCAGACAATTAGTTTGTGCTAATCAGAGCGTTCAATTGTTCAGTGACACTCGGCTTAAGTGAACATAAATTATCGTAACAAACTATATTAATGCATTATTTTTTAAGTATTATTAATTACTGTGAGAGATTCTTTGTACAAATCTTTAGTTGTGTATAAAATTTGACTATAAACAATATTAGAAAAAAAACGTGTAGTGTTGTTCTCAATTGAACAGTTTACTTGTACCAAAAAAAACCACACAAGTCAACGGACAAAAATTATACAGCCCAAATGTTTTTTTTTTTTTTAACAGTTCATCTAAAATTATAAATTAAAATAATAAAAATGATATTAAACTCGACATTATTGGTGCTGGCAGTTTGCGGGCGTCGCCTGTGGCCGCTCGCGAGGATCGTCGGTGGTACAAAGTCTGGATTCGGCCAGTGGCCTTGGCAGATATCCTTAAGACAGTACCGCACTTCCACGTACTTGCACAAGTGCGGTGCTGCATTGTTGAATGAAAACTGGGCCATCACAGCCGCGCATTGCGTCGAACAGTAAGTATAAATTTTTTTGAACATAAAAATACCATAGTATCACATTCTTATATAAAAGTTCCACGGGTGTTTCAAATTAAAAAAAATATTCGTTGTAAGTCATGAGTAAAATTGCTTAATTGGGGGCAAAAGATCTCTTTGGATCGGAGCATTGTTAAATCGTTTCTGCCTACCTCAATGGAGGACAGGTGTGACGTCTATGACACTATGTATGTATTGTATAATTTTAAAGCTTAACTCAGTTTTATTTGTATTTTGAATAATGTATTACAATATTTACTAATATATAAAATGTTTATTTAATACCTTAATGACTTAACCCTTAAATGTCTGAAGTTTCAAATTTGATACCGGGGTTATAAATCGCATTGGGCGCTTACAATCGATTTTATTTTAATATTTGGCTGTTTACATGTTACCAAGTATTTTTTTTTTCAAAATAAATATATGAAAATATCGTTTTGATATTTTTACTATTTTTCCCCATCAGTAAACACAGTAAAGGGTACACTTATGTATTTTTTAATTTGACTAAAAAAATCAGGCTTTTAAGGGTTAACCAATTACTATGAAATTTAGTATACACGTATTATATGGGATGAAAAAGAATATAGAATACTTTTTGTTTGGATCACTGAACTTATTTCAGTCGCGCATACGAACTTGTTGGAGGGGTGAGGGGGGGGGGGGGGAGAGCTCATCAATTTTATATCAAGCCATTGACATAAAATACATGATTTTAAACTAAAACTGAAGCCACTTTAATAATTCTGTAACGTCAGTACAAATCGACCGCATTCGAATTGTCTTCCAAAAAACCCGCAATCAATTCAGTTATCCTTCGTTTCAAGTCAAACTCGTAGTACGTATTTAAATTCGTTTTTACCTGAATGTAATTTACCTGTTCCACTGAGACACTGACAGACAGACGTACTTCTTGTAGCAATATAAAGGAAAAGATCATTATTATTTTTTATCAGTCCCATCTTTTCCTTAAAAGGGTTATTGGCCGTCCTAAACTGTTGTTACAAAGTTTTTTTACGCAAACTGGAACGGCAAACAAGCTGACTGTTCACTCAATGAAAATTGGTACTTTAGCGTTCTATTAATAAGATTAAAATTTCTTTACCATTTATTTGACTTATTGACTTCTAATATGATTTTAGAATGAACTGCATTAACTGTCGATCAATTGATTTGATCAATTTTGCTAATTAGCAAAGTGACATTGAATGACGAGAGACACTGACGTTTTAGAACTTGATACAAATTAAACATATTTTTTTTTTATATTGCTATGGTGACAAACAAGCATACGGCACGTCTGATGGTAAACGAGGTTACCATAACTTAAAAATATAAATATATAAAAATATTTAATAATATAAAATTTAATACCAGAAATTAATTGAAAACATCGGCTGTATAGACCTAGTTCTTTTGCCTTCCCTATTGATAGGGAAAAAAATAGCAAATTTATAGCGATTGATAATTAACATAGATACATATGCCATGTGGTCCTAGCATAGAATTAGCCACCTCTTACTTTCCGTGGGTGTTGTAAAAGGCAACTAAGGGATTTAATGGTCGAAAGATGGACAGCAGCGTCCCCCTTAAAATATTACCAAAGCCCAACTGCGGTTGCCAACCCGCCTGCCAAACATGGCTACTACTGGTAAAACTCTTCAATAGGAGGAGGCCTATGTTGAGCAGTGGACAATTAACGGCTTACATGACAATGATGATGATGATATGGAAGATAGAGGTGGGGAGCTAGTAACATCTCGTTATTTATTGACGTATGTATTATTCACGATGGCAATAGTGAGCGCTATCATAGGCGACACAGTATATTCTATTATGTCCATAGTCCTGTTTATGTCTAGTGTTCAGGTGGGACGTCAGCTTGTTTGCCTTTCTAAGTTACATAAAACTGTAATCATCAAGAAAATAGCATATTCCTTTTTAAAACGCCGGCAGCACACCTGTAATGCATCTTTTGTTGTGGGTGATCGTGGGCGACGGTAGTCACTTACCATCAGGTGAGCCGCATGCTCGTTTGTTCACTGTGTTATAAAAAAAAAATACAAATAAAGAAAGCTAAATTTTAATACCTAAAAACAACATTTTGTTTCTAGTGTACCACCCTCGGAGTTGCTAGTGCGGCTTGGTGAATACGACCTCGCGAGTGAAAGTGAACCCTACGGCTTCGCAGAGAGGAGAGTCCAAATCGTGGCCAGCCACCCACACTTCGATCCAGCCACCTTCGAGTACGACCTGGCTTTACTCAGGTGAGAATTGAGATACTAAACTCATACAAACAAGAGATACAAACAATTTTATCAACCGACTTCAAAACGAAGGAAGTTCTGAATTCGGTTGTTTTTTTTTTCTTATTTAAGTTTGTTACGTCATAACTCCGTCAGGTTTAAACCGATTTGGAATGTTACTTTTTTATCTGAAGAGATATACTTAGAAATTGGTAGAAATAAAATGTTTATCAAAATCTGTTCAACAATTTAGATTTTAGATTTAATTAACTAATTTTATTTCTATTGAAATAGATTTTTTTTGTAATATCTTTAATTATTATATTTTTTTTTCTGCAACTTAGAATGGCAAACAAGCTGACGGCCCACCTGATGGAAAGTGGTAACCGTTGCCTATAGACATGAGCAGTAGCATGGACATAACAGAGTATACTGTTTCGCCCATGATACCCCCCATGCGTTGCCATTCCTGAGGACTCGGATATTATTCCTCTGTACCCAGTAAATTCACACCATATCCCACCCTTCAAACCGAAACACAGTTATGCAAACACAACTGCTTCACGGTTGAAACACGAATGGGGCAGAGGTACCCAAGCAATATTGCACATTTATATACATATAATTAAGATTGTGTTCCTCAAAAAACCGACTTCAAATATTGCAAACCCAGTTTTTTTCAAAACTAAACTACTACTTTTGATAAATTCCTCTGAGACTAATCTCTAAGTATAATATCCTTTCAGATAAAAAAAAAAATAATTTTCCATGTCGGTTTATAACTGATGGAATTATGAAGTAACAAACATAAAAAATACTGAGTTTAAATCTCGTTATTTTTGAAGTCAATTAAAAAAATACAACCGAAATAAGAACTTCTATCTTTTTAAGTCGGTTGAAAACTTCATTTAAATCGGTTAAGCGGTTTCGAAGATTACCGTGAACGAACATCTTGACACGGGTGTTTTATATACATAATTATATATATGTACTAGCTGACTCGGTAAACGTTGTTTTACTATATACATTATTTCTAGAACTATACATGAAAATATATCGTACTACAATTATTATATTCGATTGTCATCTTGCAACCCTATTGCGGTATATAAAAATTGCGATTAAACAACAGGGGTTGATCATAAAAGCGTGAAAATTTGAATTTGTATATATATTTCAATACTAAATCATAATAAATTAAAAATAAAACATATTGTCAAAAAAATAAAAAAATATATTTAGGGGCGGGTCACCCTTATCATTGAGGGGTATGAAAAATAGATGTTGGCCGATTCTCAGACTTATCCGATATGCACACAAAATTTCATAAAAATCTGTAAAGCTGTTTCGGAGGAGTTTGGCAACAAACACCGCGACACGAGAATTTTATATATTAGATATAATAAAACTGTAATTTATATTATCAACACGTTTAAGGTCAAATGTAAAGGTCAAGTTCTGTGGTGATTGACCGACATGCGTGCGTAATAACAAATCGTTCAAAAAAACTTGATAATTTATTAATATATTTGCATACATATATTATGCTTTATGTCAAATTTTATTGTGTTATTATTGGAAAATTAGAAGGAAAACATGTTAACGATTATAAAAAAAAAACTTACGACAAATGTACGAAGTTTTTCTTTTTAATAGATGAAAATGGATTATTGAACCCACTCACGCTACTGCTATATGTTGGCGGGGTACTAGTGGGTTTTGATAAGTGAGGATGAAGTCAGCTTAGATGGCTCGTCGTGATGAATTTACCAGGTGTTAACTTAGATGACTTCTAAGGTAATATGGAAATTGGTTAATTGAGTTATCGTTGGGCGGGAAAAGGATTGTTAATAATGCAAACTTCCAGTCCCATTGCTAGCAATATACCCTGTGAGGTCGACTTCCACATCGTCGCCCCTGGAAAACATCGTACTGAATTCCATCTATCACAATTGGCTAACTAACCTACCTTTTAACTCGCACCTATCATTCCTCGCTGGTGTCCCGCCAGCGTATACCGATAGCGCAGGCGGGGTTACCATTCCATTATCACCCATTAAAAAAATACTCTAGTTACAATTTTATTATATTTGTTTATTTAAATAACTTTATTGACCAAAACATAATATGGCACAAAAGGTGAACTTAATGCTAATAGCATTCTCTACCAGCTAACCTCTGGGTTGAACTGTGAATCGAGAACGCACTATATCACGAAAGAATTATACCAGTATTTTTAAATAAATAGTTTATTCATACAGTATTGTGGAGAACGAATAAATATTAATTGTTACCTAATTTTATTTGACGATATTGAATATGCACTTACACACATTTATTGATTTGACTTGATTATTGTTTGAGAATTGTTCTTTCTTTTTTTTATTATTCTATAATCATAATAATGTCTAAGATAAATTTTTATCCTTATTTAAGTAATAAATTAGATTTGCACGCCTACAATTTTAAATCAATTAAACAGATGCCAAAAAGTTTTGTCACACGGCCCTTATAATGTCAAATGTCTGTTTAAAGCAAATAAATATTTCATTTCATTTCATTTCATTAATAAATATTATTTGAATTTGAATCAGTAAGATATTTTAAGATTTTTTTATCAATTAATCAATAAATGCCGATATACAGAGAGATTCTTCAATTGCCTTTATGATTGCAAGTTGATTTCCTCAATAAAAAACAGAAATTGCATTACAAATTTGGCAATACGAACAAAAAAGTCCAAAGCGTCCACGTTAATTCGCATTTATGTGGGAATTTTTTTATTACTGCCAGTCTTTTATTTCTTTTTTTTTTTAATCTGCTAAATGTATACGATTATCTTAATCGAATAATATTATTTTTACATCGACATGTAAATTGAGTTATTAAAGTTTTTCGTCTATCGATACTTTAGCTAATTGGCTGCTATTTCGTACGCGTGGATTGAAGAAATAGGAAAGCTAATAAAATAGATTACTTCTAGATGGCGTATCGAGATGATGCATACACCAAATTTTAAGTTAGACCTTCAACAGTATAACAGTAAAAACCGCATTCAATTTGGCGTAGTAGTTTTTGCGTAATACCGGAACAAACATAGGCACACAAAAATTCTAAAACATATTGTTTTAGTATCTATCGCTCTTTTTAAAAACCCTCATATTAACTTGAATATCTTTGTCGTACAGACGTCGTCTATTTACAATTTTATTATATTAGTGGATAAAATTAAAAAAAAATAGTCATTGACCGACAGTGGAATTTATTCCACACGTACGAAAAATATATTTTCTATCATGTCATTTATTACGATGCTGTTACATTGGTTAGTATACGATACATTATATTACTGTTAAGTATTTTATTGATTAATGATTGTAGCACTATAACGACGAGAGATACGAAATGTGTGTGTGTGTGTGTGTGTGTGTGTGTGTGTGTGTGTGTGTGTGTGTGTGTGTGTGTGTGTGTGTGTGTGTGTGTGTGTGTGTGTGTGTGTGTGTGTGTGTGTGTGTATGCGCGTGTGTGCGAGTGCGTGTGCGTGTGCGAGTGCGTGTGCGTGTGCTTGTGCAATGAGCTCATTACGACGAAAAATCCACATGTAAACACGCAAAATTTAAAATCTTCGAGATATCGTTTATCGGTGTGTTTATGATTGAAGTAACTTTTTTAAGGAGCATTATATATAGTGCCGGATTTAAGAGGGGGGCTAATCGTGCCGTCGTGATCGTCCGGGAACCATAAATAACCCACTAGCGCGTCGAGGTCTAAGAGGGGCGCCGTAAAATCAACGCAAATTCCGTAAAAGTCTTTTAGACTTTTTTAGGGTACCTGAGGAGCTATCCAAAACTTGCCCATTAACATCGAGTAGCGTTAAACTGGCATTCAATATATACTTATCACTGATAATAATTTACAATCACTTTCAGATTCTACGAACCGGTGAAGTTCCAGCCCAATATTCTGCCGATATGCGTGCCCGACAACGATGACGACTTTGTAGGGAAAACCGCCTACGTTACCGGCTGGGGTCGGCTTTACGACGGTGAGTTTATTATCGCCCATTCATATTCGCCCAAAAAACAGACCATTCTGGGTTGGCCAAGGTCCACACGGTCCGCTGCTTACATAAGCCTATATGCGGGACACAGTACACAAGCAGCTAACTTTTGTACAAAATCTCTATCTAAAAATATAAGTTACTAGTTATTATATAGTTTCCATTATTCTGTCGACAGAGGGCCCCCTCCCGAGCGTGTTGCAAGAGGTGCAAGTGCCTGTGATCAACAACACGGCGTGCGAGGCGATGTACCAGGCGGCCGGATACAACGAACATATCCCGAACATTTTTATATGCGCAGGCAGGCGGCGCGGAGGGGCCGACAGCTGTGAAGGTAACCTTAGATTCTGTCTTTTTTATACCACTCAAGTGGCAAACGAACAGTCTATTACCCATGGACGCCTGAAACACTAGGTGTCACGTGCTTATTGCCGACCTTAAAGAAACCTTAGTACACTCTTTTTGAAAGACCCCATACTGCGGGTCTACCATGAAATGAAATTCCGAAATTTCGAACTCAATTTCGTGTTTCTGTTTATACCAAAATCGGACCAATTTGTTTGGAGTTTAACATTTCATTCGTCATACATCCTATCATAAAAGTCAAAAGGAACAAAATGTTAACATTTTTAATATTTCCAAACGGCATGTATTATGTAATTTTAACATCAAATTTCTGTTTCGTTTGGCACCGAAATTTCAGAAAACATTTCATGGTAGGCTCTCTGTAGTCTCTAAGGAAAACCTGGGCATGGAGCTCTTTCCACAACTTGAGCGTTCGTAGAAGAAAATTTGTCTGAAACCGCACTGTACGTGACCACTTAGGTTCTAGCGTATGAGGACGAATTCCCTGTCGATGGCGAGCGGGGAGCTATTATAAAGTGTGACTGTGGGCATTTTTTTGAACAATTCTTCAAAATATAATCCGAAACGTTACGTTTTTAACATTAAATGCTCATTCATTCAATCATTCATTCACACATTCATTCTTATCATTCAACGTGACAGGATATATTTTGCTAGCAATGAAACTGCTTTTTTGTCTGTATAAATTATTTTTGTCATATGACTGATCTCTTTTGTGGAACAAAACAACAAAATTTTCTTTTTAAAAAAACATTTTATCTTTCAGGCGACAGCGGTGGACCTATGGTGGTGCAACGCGAGCGGGATAACAGATTTGTACTCGGCGGCGTCATATCTTGGGGCATTGGATGTGCAGAGCCCAACCAGCCGGGCGTCTATACACGCATATCCGAATTCAGAGATTGGATCAACCAGATATTACTATTTTAAGCGCTGACGAGTTCTAGAGGAAAATTGCGGATTTTAGTGGCGTTTGACGAGTTCTAGTAGCGTTTACTAGAATATTCACACGTCAACGTATCGTGAAATAAAACTGTCGATTTTTTTAGTGGCCTTTCTATATCTGTACGATCTTTTACTCAGCTGAAATGATCCCCACTCAGCTTCAGCTGCAATTTCTTGCTGCAGCGCTGTATTTCAGTGGGTCCACTACTTGATAGAGAATCGAGAAACAGAATTATATCTATAATACATTATTAACTGGACCTTATATATGGTATCAATATTATATATAAATATAATAATAAATTGTTATTATATGAAATTAAACGTCACGATCGGTATTAAAATGTTATGTGTGAATATGTATTCGTATTTTACGAATCTTTATTAATAAAGAATCATAAATCACGAATTTGCGGTGATCAGGTTTTCATAGTGTTTTTGTAGTCGACATTAGAATGTAAAAAAATATTTATTTGCTGTAATTATATGCTTTGTTTTTATTATTACATACGATTAGGTATTTAAAAACTTCAACTATCATATACTAATACGTTTTTTTGGATGATAATGGAATGGTAACCCCGCCCGCGCTATCGTTATATACTGGCGAGGGATAATAGGTGAGAATGAAGGTAGGTCAGTTGGCCTATCGTGATGAATTCATCAAAAATTAACCACGTTGGTTTCCAGCGGGAACCGCGTGGAGGTCGACCTGGTATATTGCTAGTAATGGTGTTAGTAACAATCCCCCCCCCCCCCCCCCCCAACGATAAATAAAATGTGAACTAATTACTGCTATATACCTATGTCCCTAAGATTTAATATTAAAAAGCAAGCATTCAGCCATATTATGGAATGTGGCATTTGCTGTACTAGTTCAATTGTATTATTTTTTAAACACAGTATAATAAATTCACAGTTAGTAGAAAAAGTTAATTAAATAAGTTATTAAAAATTATGAAAATATAGAGATTAATATAGTTCTATTTAATGAAATGTCACCATAATGTGAGGTGTCAGAGATAGATGAGAAAAGATTCAATACAGAGCTGTTAAATCTATTTAGAAATGTATGGTGCTGATTTGGTCAAAAAGTAACTTTATTTGTTCATGATTAAAGTTGATTTTCTTATGAATTTTTAATTGATTTTTTTTTTTTATTAAATATGCAGTTTCACAGACAACGAATTGTTTATGGTATGGTTCTGTGTAAAATATTTTTTTATGCATCACCTATTTACTTTTTAAGAATATATCCCTACTAATAATATTTATTGTTATTTTTAAAATTAGTTTATATCTCGTACGAATTTATATTTAAATAAAAACAACACAATTTTGTATAATAAGTAGTAATTATTTGATTTTAATATTAACATAAGACAATAGTGAATAAAATGAACAATTTTCAATGAAATGTACGAATTATATTATTTTATAAATATGGTACAATAGATATATTAATTTATATTAGTAATCAATTAGTAGGTGACAACCTACCAACGTTTACTTGTAAATACATATTTTTTTATACAAAAATAAATTGCATTTATTATTATTATTATTTATCGATTGATATGTAATATTCAAAATGTTCCCCTTGACGGGTGAAATTTTATTAAATATTTTAATAAAAAGATTACTTATAAAGTTGGTTATTTTAATATATTATAAATCATACTAAAAACCTGTATGTCCTTTTTGAACTCGTAAACGTATATACCAAATTTTATTATGATTGGTTAGGTGCTATTAGATAATGAACAACTAGAGAAACTCACTTTCAAATTGTGAAAGCGAGTTTATAATATTGGTATTAGATACGAAGTTCTCAAAAAAATGTGGAACGCTTCACGATTTTGCGTGTCATCCTTGCGCAGGGGCCATGCTAATCTTCTCTGTATCGTTCCAATTTTAGTATATGTATTCCGGAAGCAAGTACGACTGATGATGTCTAAATTTTGTATATATACTCTATAGACACAAAAATGTTAATAGCGTGTTTCAGGTTTACATCATTTGTTAGTTGTTTTACGTTTATATGTATAAGCGCCATCTATTAACAACTGACTACATTACGAAGTCTAAACGTAACAAATTATTTGATATGGTTTCTTTGTTTTTATATAAAATATGAATAATAAACAATAATAAAATTAAAACAACATAATTCCTAATATAATTCTCTCGACATTCAAACTTAATTAGTGTAATTTTACTATCCATGTAAGAATACCGAAAATACAGTTAGGTTATTTTTCTTATATTAAGTATCTTACATACAATACAGTAAGATTTATTATAATAATCTTTAGAACATATCAAAACATTGTTTAAACGAAACATTTTAAATTTACCAATTAAATCAAATTCAATTAGGTAGGTATCTTAATAATTTAGTAGACGTCGTTGACACTTTACCATTAGTACAGGTATGTGATAATAGATGGCGATTTCTGGATAAAATTTTTAGCGATTTACGTTAATTTTATACGAGTATACATAAAATTTTGAGAACAACAATAACATGGTCTTGTCTTGCCCGCCGGATGATGTATGGGCGGGCAAGGTAGGAGCTTCGGGGCGTACCACATTACCCCGGTTTCTACTCCGGAGGTGACGACCTCCGGGTCACTAATTGTCCGGGTACATATAAGCTGTATTTTATTTTCAAGAAAACCGTATGATATCGATTCGAATAACTAGTATCAAATAAAACAATAACAGATACAAATAGTAACTTTATTTCTAAGACAGTACAGTTCATTTCATCTGGATCATATGGGCCAGATTCCAGTTGTGTTGCAGCTCGGCTACATCGTCGATGACCACGCCATCTGCTGTCACCACGCCCAGCTGGTAGCGTTGGAAAGCGCGGGCGTCGCGGTAGAACAATACCTCCATACATTTGCGGACTAGAGCTCTGGAGAAAAATACATAAATGCAAATCAATTATTAAGAAATTTCAAATGAAATTTTAATTTATGAAATGAATATTTATTTGCCAAAAACACTTCTACATAGATGATTAACTCTATGAATTACACACTAGGCATGCAAGCCTGTAAAGTGTAATTAAAAAATGTAATTTAGTTATTGTGGTATATTAAGTGCTCGGCTGACATATAAAAATATACATGCATGCATGCATGCAATTTAATATACGCATATTAGGTATATGGGATGTAGAAAGATATAGGTTACTTTTTATCGATTTTGATAATTCTTTTGCAATTTATAGAATTTACTCCATGACAATTGAGGCTTCCATTTATTTGTGGGGCAAAAACATTCTTCATGCTAAGCAAAATCAGCTCATAGTAATACACTTACAGGTCTAAAATGGCTATTTTTGTGAAGGAAATATTTTTTGTCTTACTGTTCTGGTTAAATAACAAAATGATCTCCAATTGTTAATACAGTTTTTATTGTTTTTATTTAGTTTGTAAAGAAATGTAAGTCGGTAGCTAATAGTGTTTTTTTTTCTACTCATGTTGTGACATCAAATAAAGACATTACTTGATTCTCATTAGCGCCACAGTGTGAGCAATCCGTCTGTGTGCTCCAGTTTTGCATAATGTTTCCTAAACACTTACTTTGCAGCCTCTTCGTCCAAGTTGCCTTTGTCCCGCGCGTCTCGCAGCAGCGGCGTGGCCATGTAGGCTCCGAGACCGGTCGCGATGGTGGCGTCCTCATACGCTGTGCCCAGCTTATCCACCGCGCCAAGGAATGGTTCCCCATCCTGGACAGATATCATTTAAATTTATACATATAAATAAACAGTGATATTTTTCAATAAGTAAGTTAAAGGGGGAAAAAGGATTGTTAGTAATGGAGTTTGACAGCCCCATTGCTAGCAATATGCCTTATTAGGTCGACCTCCACATGGTTCCCCCTGGAAACCATTGTGAACAATTCTTGTTGAATTCGTCACGATGGGCTAACTGACCTACTTCATCTCCTCACCTATCATCTTTCACTGATGCCCCGCCGGTGTATACCGATAGCGCGGGTGGGGTTACCATTCCATTATCATCCATTAAAAAAAAAATAAGTAAGTTATCAAATTTCAATCAATACATAAAGTGTCAATACATAAATAGGATATAACTTACCCATGTAATAAATTTTATCCAAATTCAAAAGGATTCATGTACAGGGTTTATAAGCTGTTGATGTGAACAAACTTCCCTAACTTACTTGTATGCCAGCAACCACATAGTTGTTCCAGAGGGGGTCCATCTTGCTTCTCTTGTTGTACAACACCCTTGTAAGCCAGCAGTGGAGGGAACGAGGTTTCAGTAGCAAGCCATCGCCGATGCACTGTTCATCAATACTGAAACATATTATTGCCACTGTTACAAAAGATATCTTGCCACAAAACTGAAAAAAAGAGTTTTTATTTTGTAAAGTTTTTATTTTGTAAATGTTTTTTTAACTGACATAAATAGGTTTTCAGTTCTACTTTTTGGGGGGAAAGGAATTGTTAGTAATGGAGACTGAGAATCTCATTGCTAGCAATATACCCAACCAGGTCAACCTCCTCGCAGTTCCCCCTGGAAACTATCATGATTAATTCCTGATGAATTCATCATGATGGGCTAACTGACCTGTTTTCATTCTCATCTATCATCCTTCACTGGTGCTCCAGCGTATCCCGTTAGGGCAGGCGGGGTGACCACACCATTTTCATCCATCAAAAAAAAAGTTCTACTTTATTTATGTTTGATAACTCATGCTCATTACTCTGTCAATTGTTAATCAAATTGGAAAATTCTTTGTCTGAAATATCAAATTGGTCCAAATCAGTTCAACAGTTTAGTTTTTAAATTAAACTAACTGGTTATACCACAACTGAATTGAGTTTTTTTAAATATCTTAATGACATTATTGTCACACAATTACATTGACAATTCTGAATCGATTCTCAATTGAAAAATTTATTTCTCTATTATTAATTATTAGTACAAATTACTTGAAATTAGCCATTTTCTTAACAAATATCTTAGAAAAGACAAACACTCCTATTCAGATTTAAGAATAATTTGAATGGTGGGAAAATGTACTCTTAACACATAGAAGGCAAGAAGGTTTTTGTTACTTGAAATTTCAACTTACATTTTCTGGTCAATAATGTCTTTCAAATATTGGAAATCTGCATAGTCACCTCCCGAACCCAGCAGTATTAGGTCATTGACCTTCATCACTCGGGAACAGTCCCGGAACCTGGCCAGACTGCCATATGAGCCAAGTGTGTCAGCTGCTATGACCACACCCTTGTCGAATTTAAGGCCAATAACCGTTGTGGTTGTTGTGATGGGGTTAGCAGAGCTGTGTAGAAAAAATACAAATAAAATATTTTATAGTGGGCTTAACATGATGGTTTCCAATAAAAACTATGAAGGGTCATCCCAACAGGGTATATTATTAGCAATGGGGTTGTTAGACCCCATTGGCAGTTGTTGTGGGTGTTCATACTGTAACCCCTTTTATTCTGTAATGTTATGTTCCCAGAATCCTGACTCTTCTTTCAAATAACACACAATCTATATGTGAATGACCAATTTCAGTTGGGTCATATATCAACAGGTTTTAAGTGATAAGAGACCTAGATTATACACATCCCCTTAAAGGCCTGTGGTTCGAAACTTTCCTAACAAAAAATGCCCCTATCCTAGTGCAAGTACTCATTTCTGTTTGGCCAACCGATATCATCTGATATTCTTTTTGATTAACCTTATATTAATTAATTTATAAGGTTGAACACAAATTAGTGTAGTCTTTAAAGCTATTGAATATATACTTACTAATTCGACAAATCATTAATAAAACAATGATAAAAATAACTTACTGAGCTCTAAAATCTTGAACTGTGTGATTGACTGGACCCAGGTTACTTGGATTGCTAGGGAAATTATAAAAGGCTCCAGGCGCCGGTCCATTATGCCATAGAGGTGCGGGATTCATAATATCACCCATGAATGCCATATTTTTAATAAAAATTCTATTTTTTAGTGCCAAATATTAATGTAAAACTAGAAACAACTAGTCATGGACAAAAAGAAATTACTTTTTTGACAGTAATGACAAGCGGTAAAAACGAGATAGAATGACAAACAATTTTTGTTTTGGCTACGTTTCGTTATCCTTAAACAAATTATAATTACATTGGTGAAAAAAATTATTAACGTGAATTATTTTATTTATGAAAATTAATATGTTCAAAATTCATAATTAAATTGTTTGCTAATATAATAAATTAGGTAGGTATATTATTTATTTTTAAAAAATATGATAGATTACGATTATTTTCGTTCAGGAATTAGAAAAAAAGCAACAAATAGACATTTTTTTAAAGGATAATATGAAATAATAACCCTGCCTACGCTAATGGTAGACATACGCTAGTAAGGTATCAGTGAGGGTTAATAAATGAGAATGCAAGACATTTAGCCCATCGTGACAAATCCATCTGGGATTTAGCACAATGGTTTCTAAAGAAGAGTATGTGAAAGTCGACCTAACAGGGTGTATTAGGGGGAGGAAAGATTGTTAGTTATGGGGATTAGCAATCTAATTGCTAGCAATATACCCTATCAGATCGACCTCTTCGCGATTCCCCTTGGAGACCATCGTGATTGATTTATTTTTGAATTCATCACGATGGTCCTGTTTTCATCCTCATCTATCATCCCTCACTGGTGCTCCACCAGTGTATACCATGAGTGCAGGCGGGGTTACCATTCCATTATTATCCATTCAAGACAGGGTGTATTGCTAGTAATAAGATTTATAGTCCGCATTACAAGCAATCTATTTCCTCTCTCCTCACTAACAATTCTTTATTATTGCAACTCTTTGCCCACTACTTGATTCGCACGCTATTTCAAAAGCAGTAAAACCAATGAACCAGATGCCTTTAAATGATATTAAAATAAAATATTAATCTTTAAGTCAGGAGTAAGGGAGGGAGGAAGTAAGGGAACACAACAGTTCAAAACAACATTACTTTGGTGCACTAGATTTTTACAAAATTTCTAAAAATATTGTTTTTGCTTCTATATTAAAACTCCTTACATAAATTTTCTTATGTTTTTCATGCATACACATCGTTCACTTATATTTTATTATAATCCTAAGATTAATGCTCCTAGGTAGCTAATCAACTTAAAATACTTATGCATTTGTTGAGGTTAATTTCTAAAATACAGAAAATAGACATTTTTTTCCAAATGTCATTATGTACTTTGTAAATACTTCACGATAGTTTAAATTTGCACGACATTTGCTATCAATATTTATTTTACCTACCTAAAAGTGATTAGTAAGAAAAAAATAGTGCTGCATCTGCGCAGCGGTTCAGCAATTAAAATTATTATTATAAATTAGATCCATCTTTTGTTGCTTCACCACAAATAGTACTGTTTGTTGAAAAAAGTCATTGAACCCATCAAAAGATATTTATTGTTATAAAAGATAAATAAGTAAATAATAAATAAAATAAACAATTTATTTCTTTAACTGTCCGTTTATATCAATTTATATATACTAATATCCGATTTGATTTATTATAATAATTTATTAGAAACTATGACGTAAAGAAAATAATATATAAAATCTTTCTTTACGTTTTCATTTTTTCAAAACGCAAATGTAACTATGTTCACATCATACAATTTCTGAACACTACCTCTTATGTCAGAATATGTTGATAACTTCAATTTCTTTCTTTTCCCTTTCATAAAATTGACACAAGAAAATGTCGAAGAGAGGTGCGAATATTTATTAAATATCCATTTTAATCATTATGTAAAGTGATATAATTCCGTATTAAACATAAGGAAACTATTATTAATATATTATTAATTGCGGAACCATTTATATTTTAGCGTTTCTGTGGTCGCATTCGTAGTGTTGTTATGAAGATGTATAAAGTGTGTTTTTTTATTTTAAGGACGTGGTGGTTCCGCGGGAGCGAAGTTCCGCATCTCGCTGGGTCTCCCAGTGGGAGCGGTTATCAACTGCGCAGACAATACAGGTATAAAACACATTTAATTCTATAGACATAACCTAAAAGTTATACTGAACGCTGATGATGATTTTATGGAACACATTGTGTTTTGATTGACGATGATATCTTCCTTGGCTGTGTCTGAAGCTGTTCAGTATACAAATCTTGAAATTTCAATTTTAGAGTTGTTAAATTAATACGCGCGCAAATAATGTCTGATCAATTGGAAAATGCGATAGATAGGTCTCACTTTGAAAAAGAAAATAATGCGATAACTACATAGTCATGATTCTGCTGCTTTTTTGAATATTTGATATTTGTGTAGAGTAAAACTAAAAAAATACCAGAAATCCTTACTAATATTGTAAATATGAAAGTGAGCTTGTTTGCATTTTACCATAATTACTTTTATGTTGATTTATGTGGGGCACCTATAGGATTCTTATGGAAATTAAAATTGTTTTGCTTCTAATCTGAACTAAGTTGTATCTTTTAAGCTTAACTAATCGATATGTAATTTGGTAAACACATTCTATGTCGAATGAAGAGGGATCTAGACTACTTTTTGTCCTGGTCAGGCTTATGCAGACAAAATCACAAGTCAGAGCTAATTTATAAATATTTTTTTTTACTTTAATCATAAAAAAATTAATATAGAGCCAACATGGGAGTAAACCTTGATTAATTGTATTAAGTAATTACACTCCTCGCAAAAATTAAGGGAACATAAAAATTTTTGAAATTTTTGGGTGATTTTCAACAGGCTGTATTTCAGTGAAAAATAATCGTACAGGAAATTTAAAAAAAGGGTTTTGAAGCTTGAAAACTCTAGTTTTCAGATTTTTCAGTGAAAAAATTTTTAGAGCTCCGGTTTCCATGCAATTCTTAAACAAAGCTGAAAATAAATTTTTTCTAAATTTTCTAGGTTTCGTTTTTTACTCTATGGGCATGGAAAAATTTTTTCGAGCTACTCCATTGTATAGGTCTCTTAGCGTGTTTATTCAGCTTCAAAAATCGCTTTGGATGGCTCAATTACGACCATTTGTCTCCGAGATATCGAACTTTGAATGCATAAGCATCCTTTTCCATTCAACTGCTAATATCTCTGGAACTACTGGTCGCACAGCAAGCGGGCGCCGTGTTTCTTTATCTGCATAAAATTTCCAATTAAGCACAGTCAAGAGTTAGTGAAGAAAAAAATTTTTTCCACCTCTAACATTGAATTGAAAAAAGTGGAAAAAAGTGACTTTTTCTCCTTTTTTGGTTACTTGGCTGTATCTTCGCTAATATGGGCGGGAAAGCTAAGGTTTGAGGAAAATTTTACAGTCTATTGTTCCTTAAAGAACCCCCTAAATCCCTGGAGCGATCGGTTCAACGGTTTTTCCCGGACCAATTGATTGAAATTTTGGAAAAAATAAGGGAACAAGGTTTTTGTCCCTTAAACTCACCCTAATCCATTCAAAAATCAATAATTTCATTTGTTTTTCACTTTTTACTCAATTTTTTGTTTTTTAAAAATTCATTATCAAAAAAAAATCGAAACAAATCAAGAAAATTTTATGCAGATAAAGAAACTCGGCGCCCGCTTGCTGTGCGACCAGTAGTTCCAGAGATATTAGCAGTTGAATGGAAAAGGATGCTTTTGCATTCAAAGTTCGATATCTCGGAGACAAATGGTCGTAATTGAGCCATCCAAAGCGATTTTTGAAGCTGAATAAACACGCTAAGAGACCTATACAATGGAGTAGCTCGAAAAAAATTTTCCATGCCCATAGAGTGAAAAACGAAACCTAGAAAATTTAGAAAAAAATTATTTTCAGCTTTGTTTAAGAATTGCATGGAAACCGGAGCTCAAAAAATTTTTTCACCAAAAAATCTGAAAACTAGAGTTTTCAAGCTTCAAAACCCTTTTTTTAAATTTCCTGTACGATTATTTTTCACTGAAATACAGCCTGTTGAAAATCACCCAAAAATTTCAAAAAATTTTATGTTCCCTTAATTTTTGCGAGGAGTGTATTCAAAGTGAAAATACTCATAAAAATATAGACAAAACTGAGTTCTTTTTGGAATAACTAATAAAAATTTTAATTATTATCGAGATAAAAGAGTATGTGTGTAGTACTGTCCTGTGAAGTAGGTATTTTATTTTTTTAACAATACCAAGGAGGACTTGATTAGAACAATTAGATAAAAAATGGTTTATCAAGTTTCATCTAAATCCATTTAAACATTTTTATTTATGATTTATTTATTTATTTTAATACTTTATTGTACACATTAGTTATAAAAATATGACAGAGGTAAACAAAAGTACAAAGGCGAGCTTAACTCTGATAGAGTTTTCTTCCAGCAAACACAAAGTGGAAAGTAGCATCAATGTCAGCGGATATAGCAGTGTAAAATTTTAAAACAGCCAAAATTAAATGAATTACATTATATTTCATTATATGATTATATTTATTATATTTTTTAATTTACCAATTGAAAGTTTATGTAGAAATATTATTAAAATATGAAAGTCATATTTCAGTAATTATTAGTTATTTTCGAAAAACTGTTTAGTTTATACACATTTTTTTTATATTATATCTCATTGGTATTATTTTTTTTTATAAAATAACATGGAGAATGTGTAAATTTTATTCTAGGTGCAAAGAACCTGTACGTGATTGCAGTGCAAGGTATCAAAGGTCGCCTGAACAGACTCCCTGCAGCCGGCTCTGGAGACATGATTGTAGCCACCGTCAAGAAAGGCAAACCTGAACTCAGGAAAAAGGTGATGAGTTTTACCTTAATAATATTATAAACACTCTTCTAGGTGTATTCATCACAATGGGCTAATTGATCTATCTTTTCATTCTCACCAATCATCCCTCACTGGTCGTCCACCAGCATATACTGTTAGCGTAGGCAGATTTACCATTACATTATAATCAAATAAAAAAAAATTATAAACACTAATAGTAACAACTGAGTGTAAACATGAGGATCCTATGATATCTATCTTGAGGTTATTGCTTTGCAATGCATAATTAGGGAACCCAATATGAGACTATGATCCAGCTGAAACCACTGCATTGAACCCTCATTAAAAAATTCTGAGTTTATATCTATTTTGTATAATTCACCAAGAATTAAGCACTGTGCTTTCAAGGCATTCCTATGTAGTGGTTGACCTGACAGGATACATTGAATCACTAAATCCCTTTACTAACAATTTCTCTTTGTTCAAAATTTATTGCTGTGATGATATGCCAATGGTTTCGCTATTTTCACATCTGAACTGTTATTCAGTATGTTGATACACCTTGGCTGACTGAGCAATAAAAAAACTGTCCTAAACAGTAGCTTATAAGCTAAACATGAATGGGAACAAAATTCTTATATTTGGATATATAATAATGCATTTGAGAATGTCTCTCAGTGAGAAATTACACGGCAGAGCACATCTGATGATACTTCAAACACTGATAGGCTGAATAGTATCTATTGTCTGTTATGCAATGTCTTTGCCATATCTAAACATATTCTCTAATTATTATAATTATTACAGGAACATTATTTTTAGAGTATAATAATGTATATGACAGTTTTTTACAATTATAAAATATTTTCAATAAATTTCAAGTGGCAGTATAAGATCGCTACATTCCTCTGTTTTTGTATTTTACTACCCAACAGATAAATATAATAGTTTATTTTTTACCTATGTCTACAATTATAAATTCTTATTCTTAAAATTAAAGCTGCCATTATTTTTTTTGTGAAGCAAAATTTTAAATTAGTTATAATTTTGTTCCAATGCTTGGCCATGACAATTTATTAAAAAAAATCTATTCCAATTTTAAATTTGGTATTCGTCGTCGTTCTACTATTCTTTTTCTAATTACAATGAAATATTTATTTACAGGTAATGCCAGCAGTGGTAATCAGGCAACGGAAACCATTCAGAAGGCGGGACGGGGTCTTTATATATTTCGAAGATAACGCAGGCGTTATAGTGAACAATAAAGGGGAAATGAAGGGATCTGCCATCACAGGACCCGTTGCAAAGGAATGTGCTGATCTTTGGCCCCGTATCGCTTCTAACGCGAGCTCTATAGCTTGAAATTAATATACGGTTTAAAAAAAAAAATATTGTTTTCTTTCTTATATCCTTAAATTTTTTATGCAATTGGAAATGGCATATATATAATGGCTCATTACCATACCATATCAGCCGTAAATTGTTCACTGCTCAACATAGACCTATATCCCATAAGAGGGGTTTTGCTAGTAGTACTGCTTGGCAGGCGGGTTGCCAACCACGGCTAGCCTTTGATGTTTTAAGACGGACACTGCTGTCCATCCCTCGAAATAACCTTAATCGCCTCTTACTACTTACAGGAAAGAGAAGGTAAAACTAGCTCGTTTGGTACAAAATGAGAACTATTTTCTCTATAGAAAGCTAAAATAAAAACCTTAATTCCTGCAGATTAGTTTTTCCTCCAAACCTACCTGTTAAAACGGCGGAAGGAATTGTTAGTAATAGGGTAGCAACCCTAATGTATATATGTAATATAATGCAAACTACCAGTCCCATGGCTAGCCGTATACCCTTTTAGGTCGACCTCGATGTGGTCTCTTTTAGAAATCATCGTGCTTAATCTCAGGTGTTTTTTTTTTATGGGTGTAAATGGTATGGTATCCCCGCCTGCGCTAACGGGATACGCTGGCGGAGCACCAGTGAAAGGTGATAAATGAGAATGAAAACAGGCCAGTTAGCCCATCATGATGAATTCATCAGGAATTTACCATGATATTTTCCAGGGAGAACCGCGAGGAGGTCGACCTGGTTGGGTATATTGCTAGCAATGGGATTCTCAGTTTCTCAAGTGTATTCATTACGATGGGCTAACTGACTTTCCTTTTTATTCTCACCTATCATTCCTCACTGATGCCCCGCCAACGTGTACCATTAGGTCAACCGGGGTTGCCATTCCATTAGAATCCATTTAAAAAGAAAACCTCTCAATATAAAACAATGCGACCATATAAGCACAGTCGCTCAACTGCAGAAAAAAGTGGGACGGAGATACCGTGTAGACGACCCGTAGACTATCAGAACAAAATGCACATTTACACTACAAATCCTCATTGCACGTATTTAAATACTAACAGCTTTACTCCCGAGAGAAAAGAGTAATTTAGTTAACAGACTTCCCTCGAAAATAGGTAACAATAATATCGCATTTTAAGAGGATTTTCCGCTTTTTTTTATTGTTACCCATTGTATTAGGATTATTATTTCAGCCGTTAACTGTCCACTGCTGGACATAAGCCTTCTTCATAAGCAAAGTTTTGCCAGTAGTTGCCACGCTAGCAGGTGGATTGGCAACCGTAGTTAGGCTTTTAGAGATTTTTTTTTATACAACTTAGAATGACAAACAAGCTGACGGCCTACCTAATGGAAAGTGGTAACCGTCGCCTATAGACATGAGCAGTACCGTGGACATAACAGAGTGTACTGTTTCGCCCATGATACCCCCCATGCGTTGCTATTCCTGAGAACTCAGGTGTAATTCCTCTGTACCCTGTAAATTCACGCCATATCCCACCCTTCAAACCGAAACACAACTGTTTCACGATAGAAACACGAATGGGACAGAGGTACCCAAGCAATCGACTTTTTTACAGTCTCCCTCTGGTATTTGTCTCGTATTAATAGTTATATGACGTGTGGTCCTGTTGTTTTAAGAGGAACGCTGCTGCCCATCCCTCGCTCTCCCTTAGTCGCCTCTTACGACACCCACAAGGAAGGAAAGGGTGGCCCATTCTACATGGCACATGGCAAATTAGGATAAAGGGGCTAATAAAACAAAATGTAAAAAAATCAGCTTATAATTATTACTATAGCTTAAGGAGCATTACAGTGTTGCGAACAGCACTTTATTCCGTGTTTGTTCAATTACAAAAACAACTAAAATAGACGAAAACATTCCAATCGCTCGTCTAATACATCATTAAATAAACACAAATGATCTAACTAGTCAACTTTGAGCGCGGCGTTCTAGTTCAATATTCATTTCAATCTCATCCGTCTTTTTTTTTATACGACTTAGAATGGCAAACAAGCTAACGGCCCACCTGATGGAAAGTGGTAACCGTTGCCTATAGACATGAGCAGTACCATAGACATAACAGACAATTATGATGGTCTCAAATAACTATAATACATTGAATTGTTGCGTAAAACGATTTGCAGTTTATTATTAACAGAAAACTGTTGATTACTGGTCAGTTCTTTCCTGGAATCCGCAAAATCTAGTAACTGGATTCTTCTAATATTTCTACAATTTGAATATTATCGTTTATAGATTCTGTTAATGTAAATCGTTTTAGTTCAATTGTGCGTAATAAAAGCAGTCAATTTAGACCACCATATTGCATAACTGAATATATTATAATTTAATACTATCTTTTTCTTTCATTCGTGATTAGACAAAGATATCACTTGTTGTGCAGTTTTAAGTCTTATACACAAGTCAACTGAATTCATTGTCCATTATAGAACTAAATCACTGAGTATGAACGAACGCTGAAACAAAATCGGTACAAAATAACTGTTCTACGAAGCGTTAAAAATTGCATTGCAATAAATAAGTGTAATTATAAAGTGGTAGACATAACACTGTATAGAGTATTTTTAATACATTATCGTCTCTTCTTGTGGGATTTAGTGGGCCCTTTGACGAAGCACCAGTCGACCGATATCGACTGGCCGAGAATGTCTGCGCCGTCTAGCGCCTCGCGGGCACTCTGAAAAAAAAAACAAATTTAAATATCATCACGAATTTAATCCCTATGAGGTTTTTTTTTATACAATTTAGAATGGCAAACAAGCTGACGGCCCACCTGATGGAAAGTACTGGGTACAGAGGAATAACACCTGAGTCCTCAGGGATGGCAACGCATGGGGGGTATCATGGGCGAAACAGTATAGTCTGTTATGTCCATGGTACTGCTCATGTCTATAGGCGACGGTTACCACTTTCCATCAGGTGGGCCGTCAGCTTGTTTGCCATTCTAAGATGTATAAAAAAAAAATTATATGAAGTTTCACTTTCAGAATTTTTAAGATTAAAATAACTGGTTTTGTCAAAATTGAAGTCCGTTTTCTTTGCGCAACATAATCTTTAATTATTGTCATTAGTAATATATTCTTTCTTTCCTTCTTTTGCTAGTAAAACTCTGCTTTCAAAAGATGCTTACAACTTCTATTTCATGCTGTAATGACCCACAGACAAAGTTGTAAGTAAACATTAGTAAAAACTTTGTACTATCCTTTTATAATTAAAAATTGCTTATAACTGGTTTATCATAGGTGTTGTTTCTAGTGGGATTAATGTTAAAAAAAAAACTTACAGCAGCCTGTTTATATGTCTCGTACTCGACGAGAGCGTAGCCCTTCAGGAAACCGGTGCGCCGGTCCAGGTTCAAATGGATATTCTTAATTTCGCCAAACTCGGAGAATTGGTTCTAAAAAAAAAAGAAACGAGTTAGTATAGGCAAAGACAATATTCTAGAAGTGTTATACGATTTGAAATAATAAATATTCTATAGAGGACTTCCAAATGACGGTGGTTCTCAATTCAACAGAGATTTTTTTGTAGTTATGCTACTTGATTATGTAACTAATACTGAAGCGATATTAAAAACTATTTTTGCATGCATGCACGGCATGGGAATGAACCATATTGCTTGGGTTCACTCACTCCCATGTCGGTTCCATATTGATTTTGTAATAATTTCTTGCAAGACACATGTAAACACACAAACACACATGTAGAAACATCTCAATGCAATTTTAATTTTTATTACACTTGGGCAACTTGATTATGCCAATTTCATACTTTATTCTTTTTTTAAATAAAAATTGTAAAATTAGTAGTCACCTGTTAATTTTGTTTTTAAGGAGTATAATCTATTTTTTTTTTTAATAATAATTTCTAATATTGTTGCAATTTGTATCTTAATGTCTAGTGATTGGAGTCTCCTTTTAAATACGCATTCAAACCATTATTATTCAAGTAGACTTGATTATATGCTCTTTTAAAATATATTTTATTATTCTCCTTCTGGGTTTGGAATGTTTTGAATGAATCTGTTGAGAAGTACGTGCAAGAAATTCAACAGTAATTATGGAACACTTGTACCTTCTAAGCAGAAACATTACATGGAATAGAGTGTCAACATACCTGAATATCTTCTTCTTGAGCCTCCTCATGGACATTGCTCACAAAGAGAATCCAACCTTCGACTGACCTCTGAGGTCCAGGTGTATTGCCATCGCCCTCTGGAGCTAAGCTGTCATACCTGTAAATCACAAGTGATTTGTAGTTTCTCTGCCATATAAACTGTTAAAGCAGTACAGACATATACATATGAATGGAACAAATGCACCACTAGATGTGTAAACTACCAGAGGTAGATTTTGTACAAAAGTTCTTTGCTTGGCCACCTCAGTCCCATTCGTGTTTCTACCATAAAGCAGTTTGTATGACTGTGTTTCAGTTTGAAGGGTGAGATATAGCAGTGAATTTACAGGATACAGAGGAATAACGCCCGAGTCCTATGGAATGACAACGTATCGGGGGTATCATGTCGCCCATGATACCTCCGATAACAGTATACACTGTTATGTCCATGGTACTGCTCATGTCTATAGGCGACAGTTACGACTATCCATCAGGTGGGCCGCTTCAGCTTGTTTGCCATTCTAAGTTGTATAAAAAAATTGCAATTTAAATATTTGCCTCATTGAATTCTAAAACTTTTACCCCCTTATTCGTAAAAACGCTTATTGAAGCTATTGAGCTTTGTTAATTGCTTTCTCTTACACTAAATTCCTAGTTGGAAAGTGACAAAACACTAATAGTTAAAATAGGTATGTAAGAGATTTTAGTTCTTATGAATTTATAAATAATATATAGACTATGTTACTCTCTGAATGTAGTTTTTAACTATAGGTTACTTCTACAGGTGAAATAATTTTTAAAATATTTAATTGAGTAGTTTTTGAGTTTCCTCTTTATAATATTAGTATACTTACAATCTGGCTAAAACATTGTTTTGCCATCTAATCCATTTTTTTCTTTTCTACTATCTAATCTCTCAATTTGAATCATACACATTTACAAAATTTCATTAAAAACAATTGAACAGTTCCAGAGTTTTTCCCAACAAACGAATTTAGATATTAAGCACCTATATATATATTACCTTCCTCTATTCCCTCGCTCCGATGCTCCACCACCCCCACCTTCATTGCCAAAGCCTCGTCCTTTGCGTTTTCGCGCCTTTTCCTTCAGTCTGGCGATTCCCTCTAAAAAAAATCATAATAATGAAGAATTAGAAATGAATGAATAATTTCTGAAGCAGTGGGACAAATTTAATAAGGCCTCTATTTAAGGGTTTAATGCTGTGCTAGAAAGCGTATTTAGAAAATTTGATTAGGAAAATTATGGTATTAATATCAATGGTAGCAGCCTTAACAATTTGAGATTCGCTGACGATATTGTCCTGTTAGAAGAGGATCCCGACAAACTACCAGACATTATAAAAGCATTAGCAGAAAAAAGCAAAGATGTAGGATTAGTAATGAATCCAATTAAAACAAAATTTCTACAGAAGTCAACAAAGAAGTTTATAGAAGACTGTTGGAATATGTGAAAGAATATGTTTAGCTAGGTCAAACTATATCTCCCAAGGACTTTATGTCTAAGGAAATAAATAAAAAAAAAATAGCTTGCAGATGGAAAAACTATTGGTCCCTAAAAGAAATAATGAAGAACAAAGATTTAAGCATGCAAACGAAAGACTTTCAACACTTCCATCTTTCCATGCACAACATATGGTAGTGAATCATGGGCTCTAACACACAAGCAAAGAGAAAAACTAGCTAGTACACAAAGAGCAATAGAAAGAAGCATGTTGGGCACAAGATTTTGTAATAAAATAAAAAATTCTGAAACGAGGAAAAACTAAAAAAATACAGATATATAGAGTACTTCAATTCAATTCAATTATTTATTGCTATTACATGTTGTAATAATATAGGTCTTAAGTTATTAAAAGTAAAGAATCAACATAAATTGGGGTTGGACAGGACATACGCTACATTGCAAAATGAATAAATGGAGCAAACTAGTAACTTTATGGTATCCAAGAGACTCTAGAAGAGGTCACTAGAAGAAAGGGGCGCCCGAAAACAAGATGGATAGATGCCATATTTATTTAGACAAGTTAAAATGCCTTATCATTGAAAATGAATGCAATTTTTAAATTGCTTACTTTATCTGTATGTACAATTTTATTTGTACATACAAACAAAATAAGCAATATTTCTATAATTTTTACATACATATCTGTCATGCCTGTCTCCCATTAGGGTAGGCAGAAACAATGGAATACCAAATGATTCGATTCAAACAAATATTTGTTTAATCAAGAGATATTTTAATATCTATATATATAATAAAACTGTAGAGGTTGAATGTCTGGTAAATATAATCTCATCATATGTATATGCTTTAAACATTTCCGAACGCAACATGCTTCTACCCTCCTTACCTATCCATATTTCCTATCAAATCTGGGATCACATTGGGAGGTAGACGGACAAATTGAGTCTATAATCCAACTGCGTGTCGAGCTGATCAAGTTCCGCCAAGATCACAAAAAAAGCTCCACCAGTTGTGAATTAGTCAATCAGCCGCGATCTCCACGCAACATACAGTGGTATTTCAGCGACATACCGAACCAGGTTTGTCCTTTACCCTTCTTTTTATCCAACAATGTCTGGATATAGAAAAAAATACTAAAAACTCTTAATTAACTTATCATTTCTGTCCTTTTGTTTGTTTGTACGGGCTATTCTCCAAAACTGTTGGACCATTTTAAATGAAATTTTGCATTGAGGTACCACGGGAAAATTAAAAAGTTATGGGATAGTTAAATAACTATAGTAACTTATACAGCTTAGTACTTAACCTACTTAAATAAATTTATTTTGGCCTAAGACAAAGAATGAGAATGATACGTCATTTGTTAATTTTGGTCCAGCTTTCCCAGGCAATAAATCAGTAGGTACATACTTCGATACAAACTAAACAGAAATGACAAATACCACGCAGACAAAGTCGCGGGCATCAATTAGTATTAAAAATTAAAGCATTAATGAGTAGACATTCTGTGTATTGGGAAAGTACTGTTTATAACATAACCTAATTTTTTTACTTATGAATGTATTTTAAACTTCTAATGACAGTATATTTGAAAGTTAATACAATATATATAAATTAAAAACAATACAATTCGTATAAATGAAAATTAAGAGCAATTTATAGGAAAAGAATAAAAATGAGAAGTGACAGAGACTTACGTTCACCATCTTCATCGACTTCGAATTCTTCTGAATTTTCTATGTCAAGAACATCAGCCATATTTATTTATTTAAGGTACACCTTAAACTAATGTTTATCCAATTAATTTGTTAAGTTTAATGTACAATTTACAAAATAATTAAATTTCTATAATATGAAAACAACGCAGACAAAACGATGCGTCAAATTCACGTCACAGATTACACAGGCGAGCACAGACTAAGGAAACCAAACAACAACAAACTAGAGAGCAAAGACTTTGGAATAGAATATATGGAACATAAAAATCATATAGTTATTACTCATTGTGTAATGAAATTATCACTGTATTAGAAAAAGAAAGAATCTGTATACATGCTTTCTATATTAACAGAATAGAATAAATAATTTAGACATATAACATTTGTTAATGCCAACTGTTGGCGAATCGATCCGTAATTGTATAACTGAAAAACATGGAATTTTCTTTGTATATAACAAATTAAAAATAAATAAATATAATTAACATGGCTTGTGTAGTAAAAGGTCATTCTTAATGAATGAGGTAAAATAATTGCAAATATAAGTTTTCATACGTAAGTACATAATAATATGTGATTTCCACTATATTCCGTACAATTTTTCCTAACAATATTATAGATTATAACTTAATTTGGTCTCTAGCAAGGTTATTAACGTGACTTTCTATGAAGTTTCATAAGAATAATCATAATTTGTTTGTTAAGGTACGGATTGCTATTTGTTTATATTTTTTATAGACTATTTATTGATATTATTATTTATTATAGGACAATAAAATACCTCCTTACATATTAATATTTTTATATCGATTTTCTAAAAAATATTCTGTTAATAATAAGAAATGCGTTGAAGAAATATCACATTTCGGGCAAGTAGGTAAACTATTATAAATTTAGATCATAGTATAAAAGTAGTTCTTAATACTGTAATAGTAGTTATTATAGGTAATTTATCTTTGCTGTACAACTGAAATGAAATTGAATGTGAATTTATGGTATCTTATCTCTGACTTCTTAGTCAGACTCTTTTGTGGTCACACTCTTGTGTGACCACAAAATTTGGACAAAACAGGACTGTTTTGAAAAAAAAATGTTATTTTATATTATATTAATATTTACAATATAACGTAAAAATAGCAATGTTTTATAAAAATCTGTAAAGCAAAATGTGAGTTACAACTTGATTCTGTCGTTTAACGATTTGACAATTATATTCATTGTTGTAATCAATTCATATTTCGGATTTGTTTCAAATATAGATTATTGCAGATAGATGATAACGAGGGCAGAAATATTGTGATTATGTATCCCCAGTGACATAGTTATGGACAATGATATATACCAGAGGGAGACTTTATACAAAAGTCGATTGCTTGGGTACCTCTGTCCCATTTGTGTTTCAACCGTGAAGCAGTTGTGTTTGCATGGCTGTGTTTTGGTTTGAAGGGTGGGATATGGCGTGAATTTACAGGGTACAGAAGAATAACACCTGAGTCCTCAGGAATGGCAACGCATGGGGGTATCATGGGCGAAACAGTATACTCTGTTACTGTAAGTAACTTTGTAATTCATAAAAAATAGATAAGATTGAATTGCATTACTGTTAGAAATAGGTTTATTTTCATACATCTATAAACTACTGGCCAGTTGTAATTTTAAAAGATATCTTTTTTTTAATTTAGTTGTCATCATAGACATAGTACCTATAACGTATTTACGTATACTTCATAATCTAAGGTTGACACACATCTAAAACAATCGTTGCTTTCTGTATTTGCCCTAATATTAAATTTTATCGTATTTACCCTGTTCCTTTTTACTATGAAAATATTTACTGATATTTTAAACAGAATAACTTATAAAAATTGAAATATGCACAAAATAAAACAATACTTTTAACAAACAGTCCTGCTGTTTTATTTTTTTAATATTATAATCACTCTTTTATAAAGAGCTATTATAAAGTTAAAAAATAGTTTCTTTGGGTACATAGCTTACATTTTTTATAGACTATTAGCTGTTAAAATAATTTAAGTTTCTTGCTTGAACCAGAATAATCATTAGATAAATAACTATAACAATAATTATGTCTTTATGTCAATAGTGTTAAAAGGTTTTAAATAAAAAAATAAATACAAATCTGTCATAATCATCAGAAATTTGTACAATTCATCACAGTTTGGCGGAAAAATTTAAAATGTGTGCGGATAATTTATGGTTAAAAAATCAGAATGAACCACATCTAAAATATACCAAATCTTCAGAATGGGCATCTGCCACAGCAACACCAAGATCATCCTCACCACCAAGTAAAGTTGGAGAGGCCATATTTAATGAGTATGTTGACATTATACATTCGAAATCAAATATTTCCTTAGAAGCGAAACAAACAGAACCATTGGAAAGACCATTTGATTTTTTTGACGATGAAGAATTTGCATTTGGAATTAATTTGTTAAATAAGAACGTGGCTTGTGTTGGTAACAACATTACTAAACTTATACAAATGGGTAAGTAGTACAAACTAAAAAGCTGCAACTTTCTTTAATTAGGTATTTACTTTTGTCAACTTTGCTATTTTGTTATAAAATTTTATTCGTCAGTATCAACAACAATCAAATCATTAAACGCTATACCTAGTAATTTGAACGCTAATAACTTTGAACAATTAGTAATCAAACAAGCAGCAATTGTATTTGAAGCATTTTTAAGGACAAGCGAATTTATTTAAATATTTATATTAAATACTTGCTTACTATATGCCATAAGAAGTATTTTTTTTCTGCGATTAAACTCTTACTAGCCATGATCGAGAATAAATGAATAAAAAAAAAATGCTGACAGCTGTCTGTTATTTGTCATTTGTGATTCGTGTATCACTGTCAGCTGTCATATATACCAATAGGAGTTTGATTTTAATATTATTTTATGTCGAATTCTTGTTTTTAATATTAATGCGAGTTTTAATTTAACAATTTGTCACAAATTGTTGAAGTATAATGCCGGAATTTCAATTAAAAGATTCCGTTATTACTTCTTTGAACGGTGAGTAAATTTTGCAGATATTTATGGTATTATTATCATACGAAAATTGTTACATAATTTCTATTTTACAGCGTTACTGTGTTGTTTTCTATGACACCATCACTTATTTTAGAAGCGAGGTGCCCTATTTAAGAGTTAAACGTTACTATTGCATCATTTCGTGAAGTATTCACTACATTGTGGAGATGAAAAACTCGGATCCTTATATTTTTGGTATAAACTTTTCGATGTGTGCAGTTTTTTTTGGAATGTTTTGTTTTATTTGAGAGTTCTATATAAAATTCTAACAATATTATTTGTGCGTTTTTGTTATTATGTAAAGTGTATATATTTGAATCGAATGGAGTATGTGGGTTTATATAACCTCAAATCTTACTAAAAATTGTCAATTGAAACTGGGATTGTTTATAAACTACAGTAAATTCTAGGATTTGTTTTCAATTTCCTATCATAATTGGTAAACAACCTTGGTATGTTTTTGTATTAAATTATTTAGTGTTGACAATTGTTATGTTAAATTTTATAAAAAAGAAATGTACAAATTGTTTATCTTACTTGATAAACAATCTACATATATTTTCTAGTTAGAAAAAGCACTGTGGTAATTGTTTTTTACTATATACTTAACAGTTTCTATTATTTGAAAAATTGTAGAGTGACCCTCAAATCTAACAACTTGGTCCCAATAGACTTGTATTCCCTATTATTTTAATGTAACAATATGTATTAATAAACAATAGCTAGCTGTCACTATAGCACACTTGGACAACACATGACTATGGTCTGCGGATTTCAATATCCAATCTCAGCCTAAATCTCTGAATATATAAATTGATGTTTAGATCATTTCAAAATTATTGTTGCTTTGTGTTTTGAAGAATGTTTAAAGTTGTCATCTAGTAAATCATCTTAGAGGTCTTCATCATCATCTAGGTCATCTTGCCCACCAATGTTGCGTGGGCGGGCGAGGTAGGGGCCGGAGGCGACGACCTCCGGGTCGCTGGGTTCTTCAGCCGGCATATACTGATGGTCTGTGTATGCTGGCGTGGTGTCTTAGAGGTCTTCATATGTAACAAAGATGGCCTAGTAACTCTATACTAGATGACTGATTTCACATGATTAGTAGTAGTAGGAGCTATTTTAATTCTCAATTTGTTATATTGCAGCCCAAGAACCATGGCCCGACAATGTGAAGTTATTTCAACCATACGAAGTGGAGCAGATACTGCTGCCAGACAATGCGAGCTGTCTAGCAGTGCAAGCTTTCTTGAAGGTAAATTACATTTATGAATAGACATATAGAAATAAATATGACATTAGTAACTTCAAAATTCAATAAATAAATAAACTTAATTTATTTAATTCTTGGTTATTCAAAATTCAAAATTTTATTTTTTAGAATTTTGTATAACCAAGAGGGGGAGGGTTGCCGGTAGTTACCACATTTGGCAGGCCCATTGCAACCACAGTTAGGCTTTAGTGATGTGTAAAGAGGGACACTGCTGCCTATGCCTTGACTTTTAGTCATTTCTTATGACATTCATGGGTAAACACGGGGTGGCCTATTCTATGCAGGGACCGCATGGAAAATTACTCCTAATGTTGACTTAAAATTATGACAAAATATTATTTGTCCATTAACTATATTTAATAGTTTAATTAAAAATCTAGTTTAAGTTTAGATGATAGATACAGAACAATATTTTACATTACTTTTATACCACAAAGGTGACAAAAAATCATACTTGGTTTATTGCATTTGTCGTGGGTAATTATAAAATAAATATATATGTGGGTACTACAGTAATAAAGTAGTTGTTGTTCACACTCGAGGCGTTTCATTACATTCACTACAGCATTGATTACTCACTAGATGGTGTTAGCTGTATTTTAAAATGAGTCATTTTTAAACTACAATATATTTTTTATTCCAGATGTGTAATCTCCCATTTGAAGTTGAAATGAGATGGAATGCAGAGTTCATGTCACCGTCTGGCCGAGTGCCGTTCATCAAATGTGGTGCATTTGTGGTCTCAGAGTTGGAACCAATAGTGCAGTTTGCTGCCAACAAAGGAGTGTCACTGTGCGGTCGACTGTCCACAGAGGAGAAGGCTGAAATGAGGGCTTACATGAGTCTCATTACAAATGTTTTAGTCAATGCTGAGGTATGTTTTTAATTTAAATTTAAAAAGTGGAGCAAATTGCAATATATTAGTGAAAACCGCATTCAAATCGGTTAAGCCGTTTTTGAGATAAAAGTGTACACATAAACAGACAAAAATCTAAAAATCATTGTTTTGGGTTCTATTGCGTTCATTAAGTCCCCCTGTAATAGGTTTTCTTATATATCTTTCATGTACAGACAGCGATCTGTTACGATTTTATTATATGTATTGATTGATAATACCCGATTCATGAAGAGTTCCAATGGGAATGATGTAGGTGAACTATTTAGTTAGAAGCGGGGGAACTCTGCGGGAAACAGCTAGTTTATTCAATATGTTTATTCTTTACAATTATATGCCATATACATTAACCTCACAAGGTTTATCTAAATATCAGTCACTTATATTAATACATATGTATAATAAATTATTACCAGAGGGAGACTTTGTACAAAAGTCGTTTGCTTAGGCACCTGTGTCGCATTCGTGTTTCTACCGTAATGCAGTTGTGTTTGCATGGTTATGTTTCGGTTTGAAGGGTGGGATACGGCAGTGAATTTACAGGGTCTGTACCCTGTAAATTCACTGCCGTATCCCACTTGAGTCCTCAGGAATAGCAACGCATGATGGGCGAAACAGTATACTCTTATGTTCATGCTACTGCTTATGTCAATGGCGACGGTTACTATTTTACATCAAGTGAGCTATTTGCTATTCTAAGTTGCATAAAAAAAATTAATGTAAAGTGGTAACAGTCATCTACAGATATGGGCAGTACAGTTCCTGTAATATTGGTGCAATAAAGTGTTAAAAAAGACGGGTCAGTTAGCCCATCGCGATGAATATACCTGGAAATCAGCACGATGGTTTCCAGGGAGGACCGCGTGGAGGTCGACCCGGTATATTGCTAGCAATGGAACCCTTAGTGTCCATTACTAACAATTCTTTGCCCCCCGCATTCTGTATGTTATTTCAATGTAAAATTTAATTTTCTTTATAACTGTCAACAGCTGTACATATCCTGGCTGGACGATGACACATACAATGCGGTGACAAAAGTTCGCAATTCATCAGTGTACCCGTGGCCACTTGGGTGGCTACAAACACGATCGAAGCGGAACGCTGTCGCTAAGCGGCTGAAAGCGCTGCATTGGCAGGAGAAGACTCTGGAACAAGTATTATCTGATGTAAGTAAGGTTTATCATTATAACAGCTGGTAACTGTCCACTGTTGAACAGAGGCCATGGGGGGGGGGTTGGCCAGTAGTTGCCACGCTTGGCAGGCGGGATGGCAACCGCCGTTAGTCTTTTAGTGATGTTTCAAGAGGAACGCTGCAACCCATTATTTTTTACGATGTGACTACAAATTTATAGTTTTTTTTTATACAACTTAGAATGGCAAACAAGCTAACGGCCCACCTGATGGAAAGTGGTAACCGTCGCCTATAGACATGAGCAGTACCATGGACATAACAGAGTATACTGTTTCGCCCACGATACCCCCCATGCGTTGCTATTCCTGAGGACTCAGGTGTTAATCCTCTGTACCTTGTAAATTCACGCCATATCCCATCCTTCAAACCGAAACACAGCCATGTAAACACAACTACTTCATGGTTGAAACACGAATGGGACAGAGGGATACCTCTGTCCCATTCGAAGCAATCGACTTTTGTAAAAAGTCTCCCTCTGGTTTACGAATTGTTTCCTTTACGTGTGCTGTACAACATTGCTTCTTGTCAAATTCCATGATTCCAGCTCTATGGGAAGTTCTCTCCTATTCTATAGGTTTTCATTCCTTTGCACATGTCAAAATACTTCTATACGCTGTAAAGGGCCTTAGATATTTTTTGATTGCGTTGACCTTTTCGTAATAAAAAAAAATATATATATTTGTACGAATTAAGAATGTCCTTCTTTTGTATGGCACTTCAAAAGTTATTAAATTTTTTATTTCAGGTAGAACAGTGTTGTAACTCACTGAGTCAGCGACTCGGCGACAGGGACTACTTTTTCGGAACGTGAGTTTAAATTTGTATGTCTTTTTTTTTATTTAAGTATTTCCTCTTGTCGGGACAATTAACTTATGTATACTCTTCCAGCCAGCTCTATTTCAAGCCATATTTTTTTACTTCCTTGTACGACATGACGCCCAGTGTTTCCTTTATCTGTCCAATGTAATTATTTCTCGGTATTCCCCTTTCTCTTTTGTCTTGTATTTTTACTTCTAGTATGCTCTTTAAAATATCGTCATGTCGTATAAGGTGGCCCCGCATTCTGCCTCTCCTATTCTCTGTTATATGTCTATTAATAATATTAGCAAATGAAACTGTTTATGTGTGTATATGCTTGGATGTTTGTTACACAATCACGTTTACTACGAATTTTTGAGATAACTGCGATAGTTTCGCGATAACTTGGAAGATTTTTAAATGGGAGAAAATGGATAGTAACTTTTTCATCTATCATCCCTCACTGGTGCTCCGCCCGCGTGTACCAATAATGCAGGCGGGATTACCATAAAAAAATTTATGTATTAAAAAAGAACCAAACCCAATAACTAATTCCAATCCTTACCCAGCCCAAGTCCTCTCGACGCCCTGCTCTACGGTCATATCAGAGCACTCCTCTCCGCCTCCGGACCCAAAGTCGGTCTCATGATTAAGCCAATCACCAGCGCTCTATTACGTCATGTGCTTCGAATGAAAAATTTGACCAACATGAAATTGACGGTTTGTTACATAGATAGATACAGATTTAAAATACGAGAATGTACAAAATCCAAACGGCAACCAGGTATGCGACTGTAACAAGTAGATACATTTTTCTTTGTAACAAAATTTAATCCCCTTTATCTATAAAAATTACTTATAACCTACCTCTCATACCGATATAGTTTATTTTTCATCCTCGCCAGTAAACACATCTCGGACATACAGACGAAGTCACAGATAATAATAGCTTATAATTAAAAAAACAATTAAATATTAGACAAAAAATATTATAAAATACAACTCCTACCACATTTCTAGCCTCAAGAAGAATACCTAATAAACCAAGCGTTCCAACTGTCCCGTCGTATGTTATCACCTGATAGGACAATATCAGAGAGGAGCACTCGAACGAAGCGTTCCAAGCTGTGCCTGAGGAACCCCAGTAGGGATAGCGTTAACAAGGATCTATTTGGTAAATCAAAGATAAGCTATTCACGAATTTAGTAATGGCAACGGCCCCCTGTTTTATTCACATAAAAAAAGCCTATATTACATGAATGTGTGTAGTTTTCAATTTAGTTCAATTCAGTTAGATTAGGTTCATTAGTTTCAAAGATTATATGTATGGAAACAGTCCAATTATATCACTCTATAGTATAAAGAGAATGTGAGATAATACGCTTCATTTGCACCACATATATTATATTATGTATATATAATTTGGTATATCAATTGTAAACTAATTGTTAAATTTTAAAACCTAGGATTCAAGCCGTTCGCCTCGAAACAAATTATAATTATGATCTCAAAAGAGGGCGCTATTACATGCGAGTACGATCATCCAAACAAAAATTATTATTTGCATGATCGATTTAACTTCATAATTGATATCGTCGATCATATAATCGATCAAGTCCACGAGTCGACTGTAGAACAATTGTACGAGAAAGATAAGCACGGCTTCGTGATCGTAACGTATCCGAATAACGATGAATCGATTGACATCGATAAGAAAGTTAGCGATTATTTGGATACGATTGAGGAGAATGATACGACAATGTCTATGGAATCGGGACATGATGTGTTGAATATTATAAACGAGGGAGATAGCGATGGATTGATAAATGATAAAATGTTGGTTTCTGCGATGGAGATTGTGCAAAAGAGCTGCGACGGTTCGGACTTAACCGATTCTAGGTTTGTCTCCTACAATACACATAATAAATCGCCACGATTTATCGATACAACTTGAATTGTATCGATGGTGTCTTTAGTGATTTCTACGGGCATGTGTACCTTGCATTAAACTTTGGTTTTAATGCTTAGTACTTGGCATTGTCGTTTTTAAGGGAAGAGGGGGGGGGGGGCGTGAATTGAATAGCAAAAGAACAATTTGTTTTAGAGAATCCACTTTTAAATGATTTCTGTTTGGGCATGTTGAGTATTACGTAATGCAATTTTTAAAAAAATTCCCATACAGATACAGTATTTAAATATTTGGTTGTAGATTCTTTATTATAATTTTTTTTATCGTAAATAGTAATAACAAAGCATACGTGGAAGAAAACGTGACGATGTGCAGTAGCGGTGACCGGATCTGACCGATGTGTTTGAAACATCTCGTACGCCACTATCAACAGGTTCCTTTTTTTTTCATCGTTTTATTAAATTTACTTTTTTTTTTTACTTAAAAAGGAGGAAGTTGTCAATTCGGTTTTTTTGTGTTTTTTACTTCATAACTTCGTCAGTTGTGAAATGATTTGGATTTTTTTTTATCTAAAAAAAATACTTATAGTTTGGTCCCATAGAAATTTTATCAGAAGCGGTTTAGTATTTTAGTATTTTAATCAAAGTATTTGGTTTTGCCACAATCGAAGTAGTTTTTTTTTTTTGTGGAATAAATTATTTCTGTTCACACAATTATTTAAAATTTCAGTTTTGAAGTAGCCGGTAAAAGTCACGTAACCATTTTTTATCACCAACAGCTAGTTTGTTGCCTAGAATCAGAATATACAGGGTATAAGGTACAGGTTGGCGAAAACAGAAACAGCGAATTCAAACCATTATTCTGAACTGAAGACCAGTGGAGACTTTATCTGGGAAATTTTAAAATTTTTCCTGTTTTTTTTTCCATTTAAAATCTATAATCTATCATATGTCATAAATAAATATGACATAAGCATGTCTTTAATATAAGCATGTCTCATTGTATCTCACTGTGATAAATTGTGAAGAGAAAATAAATCTACTTATTATTATGAGGTAATGAACATAAAAAAAATACAACCGAAAAAAATAAATAAATAAATAATAATATTTTTTTTTTTATTATTGAAATACAATGAAGCAATCTAATACACGTATTAAAATTCTACCGCAACGCGCGGAATCAGCTGTGTAAGGAATTCGCCACGAAACTACCTACGAAGAAATGCCATTGGCCGTTCAGTGCAGTTATTGCGTGTTGTGTGTGGATCGTAAAATTTCAAATACATTGCGCGGTGTCAAAATTAAGAATTGTTACATATAAGGCTATGGTGCAGTGGTCCGGGGGGAAAATAATTTACTATTCGATTCATACCATTCATCTGAATCATCTATTTTCGTTTTGCATAGGTTGGGCATAGGTTGGCCCTTCCACCCTGTATAGTGAATAAAATACATTTCCAAAATTCGCAGGGTCTAATACTACGTTGAAAATCCCCAGTAACGAAGAGATAAGTGTAGAAAGTTTGTTGAAATATCTACGCAAGAGGAACGCGGCGTATAATATAGGAATGGCCGATTTGGATTAACGATTGAATATAAAATTACAATTATATATTTATATATAATTAAATATATATATTATATATTTATATATTGGAAATAGAAAAGAAAAGAAAAAAAAAACTATAAATTCTCGTTATAAGCAAAGCGTTATTAATGGTTTTTCTCGAAGTAACTTTATTTTACGCTGTACTAAGTAGCTGCGTAAAAATAACAAATTTTATACATATCTACGCAGTTTACATAAAATATGAAGTTTTTACGCGAGATCTTTTTTACGCGAATAGGTAATATTACAATTTTTGGTACTAAATTTTTCGTTATAAATCGGAAAAATATGTTTTATCCAGACTTTCCGCTATTTATAGAGAATGAGATTACCTGGAATTTTTTATTTTAATTTGCTTTTCGGAGCCGAATATTTCGTGTTACGGATTTGTTTTAATTGTCATTATTTAAGATATATATTCTATTTAATTTTAACTGTTTACTATTTGTTGTTGATTATACGATTTTTTCTTCAAATTTTAGTGAATTTTATTAGTTTTTTTTTTTAATGAAATTGTGTGGTTATAATAAATTATTGTATTATTATTGTCTTACAATTATTGTAAATATTCTTTTTTTTTTGTAGATTACTAGTATTCCGCTCTGGCTTCGCACGGGTACATAAAAAAAGAAATTAGTATTTTATATTAGCTTTAATAGGCAAAAACTTGATATTTTGGCTTATGTCGTTGTAATTTTTGTATATATACTTGATTTTCATAAAAAATAATGTATTAAATATGTTACCCGCTAATAATTAAAGGTGAAAAAACTTTTAAAACCGGTTGGGTAGTTATTGAGTTTATCCATTACAAATAAACAAATATTTTCTCTTTGCTAAGGTTTAGTATAGACGTAAAAAAAAAGAAATAATGTGATGTCACAACCTTCTTTATTCTTGTCTTGTACTTCTGAAGGGTAGAACATATACGAGTATAGACATAACATTTTCGTATGAAGTAACATGTTATTCTCACATGAGGGTATAGGCGGCATGGTATATTCAGAAATGTATTCATGGCATTCAATTACATGTAGCGTTTGATACATTCTATTAAAGGGATACTTTGTTACTTATAAAGTAAGGCCAAGATCGAATTGGCATCTTTTACCTACTTTGTAATTTACCATGCTGAAATATCATCAATTTCCTGATTTGAAACGAAAGCATAACCTGCTTTAACCTATTTGAGCCTGATTATGTAACAAACGTCCGAACATCTTGGTACAGTAGGTATTTCCTCATAATAAATCTGTCGCCATAGAAAAATAATCTATCATCATAGATTAAGGATAGTAACCTACGCTTATCATAAAACTTAGTATATATTTACTATTCATTAATCTATGGCATGAAATAAAGAAAATACTGGCAATACTTATTTATTCCAAATTCAAATTAAAAAGACGGCAGACAACGGCATCACATTTAATGGTGCCTCTATACGTTGGCGCATATTTATTTCGGGTACGATTTGTTTTAGTCATCCAAGCATTTATATATTAATATTTTTTTTTTAAATGTCTGCTTTACGGCTCTGGATTCAAGTCCTTTTGAGCCTCTTGTTTAAAGTTGGAAAGGTCAGTGTGTGTTGCCATCCAAATAAAACATGGTTTTTATGACACAAATATAAAACTGAGGATACTCAGTTCAATAAACTTTTTCAACAGGTATCAACAGAATAAAGAGATAATCCAGTTTTATAATAATAATATATAACATTAACAAAGGTTTTAAAAACGTCAATTTTAATGAGTGAATTAGCTGAACAAATTGTAATATTCAATCTATTAATTTTTTTTTTTATTATCAATAAAAATACAAGTTACAGAATTTATGTTACATTAGCATTCAGAAACCACGCAGGTTTATATTAATACCAAATACATTCAAATTATTTAAATTGTATTAAAACCATGCAAGAAGTATCGTTTTTTTTTACTTGATGTTGCTAATAGTAATGTTATCTCGATTAATTGATTATGGATTTGTATTTTTATTGTTTAATGGATGAAAATGGAATGATAACCCCGCCTGTGCTATCGGGATATGCTGGCGGGGCACCAGTGAGGGGTGATAGGTGAAGATGAAGCAGGTCAGTTAGTCCATCGTGATGATATCATCAAAAATTATTCACGATGGTTTCCAGGGAGAACCGAGTGGAGTTCAACCTATTTTTTTTTTGACGGGTAAAAATGGTATGGTAACCCCGCCTGCGCTAACGGGATACGCTGGCGGAACACCAGTGAAGAGTGATAGATGAGAATGAAAACACGCTAGCTAGCCCATCATGATAAATTCATCAGGAATTAACCAGGATAGTTTCCAGGGGGAACCGCGAGGAGATCGACCTAGTTGGGTATATTGCTAGCAATGGGATTCTCAGTCTCCATTACTAACAATCCCTTTCCCCCCCAGTTCGACCTATTAGGGTAACATATATTGCTAGGATTTGTACTATTATTGAACATAAGCTGACTTTCTTATGGTTGGGGCAATTCATTCGTTTAAGTGCTCATCGAGACGTATTGTAACAGATTATAAAAAAAAATAAAAATTATTTTTTTTTATTTTATCCGCAGTCCAACAGAGCTGGACGCGCTAGTATTTGGTCACGTGTTTACTATCATCACGACGCGGCTGCCGTGCAGGAAGCTGGCAGAGACTGTGAGGCGGCACGAGACGCTCGTGTCGCTCGCCAAGCGAATCGACGAGCAATACTTCAAGCGGCCATAGCGGGAGGTGTTCAAGGACATCTCTACCGTTTTTAGGAGTCCTTGAACAAACCTGCCCTTTATTATACTTCAAATTGTCTACAATGGTGATTTTGCGATGTATAAAGCGAGATATATTTGTAATTTATCATATTTAATGTCTGTAGATGTCGGATTTGGATGGGGGGTGGCGTAGGGGGGTTGAATAGTCGGTCCGCCCAGGGTTTCTTGATTTTTTTTATGCAATTTAGAATGACTAACTGAATGAACTTCGGTAATTTTATACGTGATTCTTTAAATTGATATAACTTTTTTATTTATGAACCGATTGAAATAAAACAAACGCTAAATGTTAAGTGGAGCAAACTGCAATGCATTAGTGAAAACCAATTTCAAATCGGTTAAGCCGTTTTTGAGATTAGCGTGCACAAACGTACAGACATACAGACAAAAATTCTAAGTCATTGTTTTGGGTTCTATTGCGTTTATAAAGCTGTACTATAATAGTTTTTCTTTATTTATCTTCCATGTACAGACAGCGACCAGTTACGATTTTATTATATGTATTGATAAGCTTATAAATTCATAAAGATACTGGCAGTTATATAAAATGCAAATATTATTCGTTTTATCGTATTTCGTATCATAAAAGTCACCATTTTAGACTCTCTGGTCAATGTAGTTAGGATTTCTTTTTACTTCACTTGTTTATAGAGCACCGCACAATATAAACACGCAAATAACATTTCAGCTTTTTGTATTTTACCAAAGTGGAATGTTTCTGTTGTTTTATATAACAAGGTAATGAGATTCCCTATTTGACAACAATTGTCAGTAAAGCAGTATGTCCTTAGGGTCTTAGCCTATGGATAAAACTAAAAAACATTCCGTTTCTTGTTTATGGTACGCAGACGAGAGTTGCCAAGTTAAAGGTGGGGTTTGACCAAGCGATCGAATTCTCAAGTTTTTTTTTTTCTGCAAAGAGCATTTATAATCTTTAAATTTGTTTTATATTAGCATTTTTAAATAATAAAATTTTCATTAATGATTATTTATTAATTACGACAAATAAAAAAATCTGATTACACAAACAGTCTTCATTTTATTTTTACATTTATTTTTTTGTTCGATTGATTCTGAGAAATATTGTGTATGTTTGTTGCATCGTTCTTTTAGTCTAAATCCACCTTAATATTACTTTTTGTGTAATAATATTGTATTTTTGCAACTCGAGTTTGCTGATTTTGACACTTAATCTGTTAACAGGTCACAATAATGTATATCAGTTAATAAAAATAGCAATGAATAAGTTTCTGTAATTTATATCGGCTTTAATCAAGTATTTAACTACGGGGTTGCCAGTCTACTTTCGGAACGGATAAGAGACTTAATTAGTGGGCGCAGTTCACGGCTTAGTCGCGAGCAATACTAAACTGGCAACCCAGAAACTAATAATTCGTTATAAAGTCATTATAAATAATTGTAATAGCTTATGACTCAAGACAGTTAATATCCAGGTTTTGTTTAAGGATATCCCAATATTTTTAGATTGTTAAGTTGGTATATTGTTACTTGTATGCTTGCATGGAACATCACGTAAAATGTGGGCTAATTGGCTAAATTAGCCCACATTTTATATAACGCAATAGGCTATATTGCGTTCAATGGTGTAATGCATCCAAGATTTTTTATGGTTTAGTTCTAGTTCTTACAATATTTGTAGATATGTAGGTATAATTAAGATAGTAATTTTAAGTGCAATAAATTACAACACATTTCACAAATTTTAACTTTATAGTCATGCACATAAGCTCTATGTTTGTGAATAAATAGATTATGTATTAACTTATTTAATAGACAGAGATTATAGCCATAAATATATGTATATACAAGAAATCAATACATAAAGGTATTTTCTGTAAAAATGAGATATGGCAACCCTACCCTGATGATACTGTAAAAAATAAAAAAATAAATTATTGCACTATTCCTAATTATAGAAGATAAAGAACATTAAGCATTTATAATATTCAGCATACAGATAAAATAGATTTTTTTTTACTAGAAAAAAAAATGTAGATGTCTCTGCTTGCGAAATTATAAAACGAGTGTCTAGATTAAATTGTAGTGTAATAATGTGTGTGTGTGTGTGTGTGTGTGTGTGTGTGTGTGTTTACTGAGTAAAGTTTGTATGTTAAAAAAACTTCATAATTTTAATTTCATCAATGATATTTATTTATTTATTACATCCACTGGGTGAGCCTTACAGTCTTCCAATACGCTCACCCAGGAAAGTATGAGTACAATAACATATAAAAAAGGAATATTACACAAAAATAACATAAAAAGATTTAACTCAAACAAAAAACGTCTGAACACAAATACTTTGTGGTCACTCGACGAAACTCCAACAAGTTGGAGGCAAATTAGTTTTGGTAAGAATAACACGCTTTAGAAAAAAATATATGTAAAATTTGAACTTAGATATAGATTGTCTATGATAACATGGCATGCCCCTTCAACTTTTAACTTTCACGTGTGACCGTATACAGACGTGCTCTGTGTATGTATGTGTATCATCAATTGCGGTCTTAATGTATGATAATGGAATAGTAACCCCGCCTGCGCTATCGGTATACGCTAGCGGGGCATCAGTGGGGGGTGATAGGTAATGACGAAGCAGGTCAGTTAGCCCATCGTGACGAATTCAATAATAAATCAATCATGACGGGCACCAGACGGAACTATAAGGAGGTCGACCTGACAGGGTTTATTGCAAGCAATGGGGGTTGCTATGTTCTATTACTAACGATCCCTTCTCCCCCCTTTAGTACCGGTCCGGCCAGAGTATTATATTCCTTAGTTGAAAGCTTATAAATATTTTTAATTCACATATTTTTAATTCTTTGGATTTTGGAGGGATGTGCCTTGATGTACCAGGTCAGTTAGACCATCGTGATAAATTCACTTGGAATTGAACACGATGGTTTTCAGGGGGAACGGCGTAGCGTGGCGTGAATTCTCAACTGGTTTAATTGTGAGCTCCTAGAAAGACTAGACTAATATCCTCTTCCCACCCCACCACCATCAAACAAGTCGTCTTGCATGTATACATTTGTATCAGGGGGTACCAGGACATCATAGAAATATACTGTGGTGACCATGTTTATAGGCGATGACTACAACTTTATATTAGGTGGACCGTCAGCTTGTTTGCCATTTCAAGTTGGATTTTAAGGTAAGGTATACATTTGAAACTGTTGTGATTTTCTTTATAGATCTTTATTATATTTACTCTAATATGAATGCTGCTATAACGTATTGAACTATAAAACTTAATATACCCCTTTCAGACCTGAACGATACGGGCGTGAGTTGTAACTTTAAAAAATTCTAAAACCGCGCGCAATTCAATTTTACGCACGAAGCTGAAATAACATGATAGTGAGATTCTAAACCAGCCAATAAGAAATCATTTTAGCGGTTAGGTGGTGCAGTAGTCTCGTGCGTGCCGGCAAGATGGCTTGGCTCCAAAACACGAAAATATATTTGATTTGAAAGAAAAAAAATCTTGGGTCTGATAGGGACACTGTCTATGTTGGAACTATTAAATATCTACTACAAATAAAAAAAAATCACTGATATTGTACTTAAATTTAATATTATTTGGATAATACAAAATTTATTAGACATTAAGTACTTTAATGATTAAACAATAGAGCTATATACATACATTTATTATTAAAATATATTTTAAGTAAACAAGTACAGTCGTAAATCTGCTATTTTATTCATGAATCTAAATAAAGGAATTGTTAATTGTGACTATTAGTAAATAATAGTAGTTATACTATAGATAGTCAAACTGTTTACTTTTCAATGTAGAAAATGAATCATTTTTATCGCCCAAGAAACCTACGCTTAAAAAAAGTTGTACCTTTATTGTAGTTTATTTTTTCTCATTTGATGTCAAATGCTGTCTATGATTTTTTTTTTTTAATTTTAATTAAGTACTTTGCATTTTGTTGTATGTTTTTTGGATTAAATGATTGTTGGTTAATTTTGTTTTAATTTATAATATGAATAATAACTTTATTTTCCTTAAACAAAATTAGCCTGTAGTACAATATAACTATGACCCCACGCTAGGCAAAGCCTGTCTCGTGGAAGTCAAAGCTAGAAATTTAACAGTTATATATTATGATCGGTAAAATCTGATATAAGAATAACGTCGTACTTAACCTGCAAAAATGAACGCATGAAGGTTGTTATTGACAGCACAGTATATAGATGCCCAAGATTCATATTTCCTATACTGATATTTATAATTATTGTTATGAAATGAGATTTATTTCGTATAAACAAAACTGTATATAGTATTTAGTAAGTTACTGTACTAATATTAGTACTTTAATCATTCAATTCGTGTTAAATAAATGGACATTTCGTTTGTGTATTCAAATCATTTCCTTGTGATGATGTAACAGAGACATCAATTAATCATTACTTACCTATACTTATTTTTAACCTTCCTATCTGCTTGGAAAAAAATATAGACAGACTTTTTGACCCTCTACATTTGTATTGCGGATTTTTCCAGGTAGGTATCTAAATGTGTTGCTAAATGCATAACTCGAGAACGGTGGGGCCAATTTAGCATTTTCTTTTGTCTCAGAAAAACTTAAAAACCATTTTTCTTTTTCCCATCCATACAAACTGTTTTTAGCTGCCAATTAAATATTTTAATTTTCGAAAACGCTTAACCCATTTTTTGCTACATCTTGAGAGCAAGATGTAGTAAATTTGTGGATAGTTTTTCGGATCCGGTAGGTGGCAGTAGAGGGCAAAATAATTAAATCTTCGACTTTAGATTTATCATTGGGATATCCATATTAGACCTTATGTCCTGGAGCAAGTCAGTCGCCTTACAGTTCTACATTAGTCGTAGCTTAGAATTGTGGGGGGAAAGGTATTGTTAGCAACGGTTTGGAACAGCCCTATTGCTAGCAATACACTCTTATCAGGTCGACTTCTACGCAGTTCCTCCTGGAAACCATTGTGGTTAATTATTGTCGAATTCTTCACGATCGGCCGACTGACCTGCCTTCGTCCTCACCTATCATCCTTCACTGGTGTCCCGCCAGTATATGCCGATAGCGCGGGTGGGGTTGCCATTTCATTATCACCCATTAAAAAAAGGCTTAGAATTGTGTTATATGTAAGTATCTAATGAATAAACTTCTTACAAAAACTTCGCTATTTTGTTTCTCAAGCGACCCCCATATTACAGTACTACAATATAGGACTAGAATCCGATTCAAAATAAAAATACAAAAAATAATTTAGTGTCTATTTTTATTTGGTCTTCGTTACAATAAACACAGTCGCAAGGTAACCATACACAACCATTCATACTAACGCTTACTTTACCCACACAGACTTAAAAATAATAAAATTCGAAGTCCGACAACAGGGTGGGTATTAACTTAGTATAAGTTTATACTATACATTCGTTCACAGAAGTTACATTTTAAATTTTACAATTTTTTTTTAACCATAATGGCTTTTACATTTTTTTTCGCGTTACAAATTTAAAACACATTTTTCTCACATTACCAAAATAAATAATACCTATAAAGGACGTTGGAAGTCATTTTCTGCATTTTGTCTTTATAGAAACATTCGTTAATGCAAAAAAATGGATTCCTTTGCCTAAAGACTACCTATTTAAAAGTACATGTAAGATTTTTGGTGGGAACTTTTAATCAATACATGCAAAGTCAAGTTTTTCGAGACTTCATCAATGTTAAGCGATGTAGTGAGTTCTAGAAGCGTCTAGAATGTTCTGCGGTGTTTACATTCGCCTCGAATGATTGATGATCATCTGGCGGATGCTGAAGGTGGAGAGCCCGAAGCCGATGGCAGCCAGAGCCACAGCAGACCGGTTCATAATTTTATCACGGTTCACTTGCTGTAAAGAAAGAAAAAGAATATTTATATAAATTAAAATTGTAATAATTAATTTAGATGGTTTTTTTATTTAATTAATTAATTTTGATAATTTAGATTTAATCTTCGTACAAAACTATAGATCAGTGACGGAGAGACGGAGTGGCATTGTTGGTAATAAGGTTTTTTTAAGTGAAAATGGAATGGTAACCCCGTTTACGCTATCGGTATACGAATATACCTTAAGAGGCCGACCTCCCCGCGGTTACCCATGTAAACCATTGTGTTGAATTCGTCGCGATGGAATAACTACCGCCAGCCAGCGTATTCGCAGTACTAATGAATAATGGGAAAGTTAGATCGCATTATTAACATTGGCCATTATGAGGCGGTTAATCCCCATGGCTAACTATATACTCTGTTAGGTTGACCACCACGCGGTTTTCTTGGAAACCATTGCAGTTAATTCGTCACAATAACTGATCTGTCTTCAACCTCATCTCTAAATGGTGCCTCGTTAACCCTTAAAAGCCTGATCTTTTAAATCAAATTAAAAAATATATGTGTACCTTTTACTGTGTTTACTAATGGGGAAAAATAGTAAAAAAAAAGTCAAAACGATATTTTTATATACTTAAAAAAAAACATTTGGTATAATTTTTGATACTTTAGGCATTACGGTAATCAAAATATTTAAATTTATTTAACAATGAAACAATGCAGACCTCGGTATAAAATTTGAAACTTCAGGTATTTAAGGGTTAACGTGTACTGACAACGCAGGGGTTATAATTTAATTTTCATCATTCAAAAATCAAAGATCAAGCAGAGAATATCCATACCTAGTCAATAGAAAAGTATGTTCTAAAAAAAAAAAAAAAAAAAACTTTCAATTGTGGTAAAACCAGTTATTTTTTTTTTATTTATTTATTTACAAGTAACATGGTAAGTGTATAGATGTTACAATAAGTATAAGTCCACATATTTCGCCATAATTAGGCATGCAAATATTAAAACTTAAAAAGAATAAATGTTAAATGAGTCATTAAAATTCTAAATGTTATATAAAAAAAAATACATAAAAAATGTCAGACACTTGTCAACAATAAAAAAGAAAGAAATGTCTGAAATGTATAATTTAAAAACTAAACAATTTAATTGATTTTGATAAAATTTCTACGAGACCAACCTATAAATATATTCTTTCAGATAAAAAAAAAGAGTTTGCAAAATCGGTTTACAACTGACAGAGTTATGAGGTAAAAACATAAAAAAACACAACCGAATTGAGAACGTGAACGTTCTTTTTGTCGGTTGAAAATTTAAGACTCAGCTTTTTAAAACTCTATTACCATTATGTGTATTTATTTAAATGTTTATCTAAAATTAGTTACATGTTCCTTGAATATTTAAAAGCTCGTGTATCATCGACTAATACCAAGCACGTTTGTCATATAAATAATCTTTGGCTTTGTTCAATAAATGTTTCTTATCATTTTTTATGCAACTTATAATGGCAAACAAGCTAACGGCCCACCTGATGGAAAGTGGTAGCCGTCGCCTATGCACATGAGCAGTACCATGGACATAACAGAGTATACTGTTTCGCCCATGATACCCCCCATGCGTTGCTATTCCTGAGGACTCTGGTGTTATTCCTCTGTACCCAAAAAATTCACTGCCCTATCCCACCTTTCAAACCGAAACACAACCATGCAAATGCAACTGCTTCACGGTAGAAACACAAATGGGACAAAGGTGCCCAAGATTCCCTCTGGTAATGGCAGTTTTAAATTTATTAAAAGATAGATCTAAAATATTCTTCTTAAATACCTAACTCTTGTAATAAATGCTTACAATAGAACAACAGTGTCTTTCCCAAAATTAAAAATAAGCTCTTGACTGGTGGAATTCCGGTGAACATAAATATACCGCGTGGGCTACAGTCATGTGGATATGTTTTGTTTTATATTTTCCGACGCCCCGCGAGAGACAAAGCTACAACTGGATCTATTCCTTGTAATTATTTATATTTATAATAAGTTTACTATTCTAATCTTTTGGAGGAAACAATAAAGAGTATCTATCTATCTATTCCAATATAAGTTACCAATAGTTTTTGTATGTATCAATAAAAGTCGTTGGTTTGAGGACATCACTAACTACAATAGAAGCTCGATTATTCGAAACATCGATTGTCGGATTATTCGATTGTCTGGACTTATTCTTCACGGCTCTAATTACCTATTTAGAAATGGCATTACGTAATCCATTTATCTTTATAGCTCGTTATTTTTTTTATATCGTATTGTCTCAATAACGTATGTAAAAAGCCCTTTACAACAAAAAAAAAACAAACATATAAAAATTTAATTATTGTTTGATTTAACTTTAAGATCGATTATACCGAATACCCATGGTTTTATACCACACGGCATAGCTAGGAATCTACCTATATATTACAAAATAAATAAATGAAATGAGCATTTATAAAAATAAAATATTTAACTATTTCTCCTTGGGGGGGGGGGGGGGGGGGGATCCAGCTCGGCATCGAATGGTTACATAGAATTTCCGGAAATAATATATAGCTAATACCTATATACTGGGGGGAAAGGAGTTGTTAGTAATGGAGACTAAAAATCCCATTGCTAGCAATATACCCAACCAGGTCGACCTCCTCGCGGTTCCCCCTGGAAACTATCATGGTTAATTCCTAATGAATTCAACATGATAGGCTAACTGGCCTGTTTTCATTCTCATCGATCACTCTTCACTGGTGCTCCGCCAGTGTATCCCGTTAGTTACCATTCCATTATCACCCATAAAAAAAAAAAACTATTTTTCCTGGAGTATGAGAAAGAGACGTGACATATATGTACATATGTAGTATTTCTCACCTTGTAAATATTTAAAATTCTATTAGCAAATTGTACTATTAACGTTTGGTACATTCTATATATAAAACACACAACTTCTTTTTACATAACTCTGGCAGACGTCCACGTTTCACCCGTATAATGCACAAAGCGACAATTATAAAGAATGCGATTATAAAAAAATCTGTCATAGACCTCGGTTATCAAGATAGCTTCTGTTCTTATCTTTGCTTAACTCAATGATAACGGTACGATAAAAGAAGTAAATGCTACACACCGCCATCTAGTTCCAAACTAGACAGACCTTGTACTGTATGCACTAGACAATGGATAGACAATACGGAGTTAAATTTATATTTCTACTTGTTTAAATTTATATTTCTGTGGTACATGAACAGATTACAAACTTGTTTATTAGCTATGATGCTATTAGAATAGCCTTTGCTAACATTGTTATTAACTTATTGTTGTTACTGTATGTTTTAGTGCAATAATATATATATAGCCACGTGACTTGGTTTTATGCTATGTAGTAATGATATGTATATAACACGATCCCCGTTGGAGGTTTATATTCATAGGACTGTCACTTGGACCGTATGTTTTCATTACCATTCGACTAAATGCTGGAATAACATACCTAACCCCTTCAGTTTCTTGTAATTGTTTGTATCTATAACTTTACTATTATATTCTTTTGGAAAAAACAATAAAGAGTATCTATCTAGCGCCGTGTAGGTCCCGGCATAGAATGGACCACACCTTCCTTTACCGTGGGTGTCGTGAGAGGTCACTAAGGGAACTTAGTGGTCGAGGTATAGGCAGCAGTGTCCTTCAAACATCAAAGCCTAACCGCGGTTGCCAACCCGCCTGCCAATCGTGGCAACTACTGACAAAGCCCCTCATAGGGGGAGGCTATGTTCTGGAGTGGACAGTTAACGGCTGTCATGATAATGGTGATGATGATGAATGACGATATTAATTACTAAATTAACACTGCACATACTAGGTTAATAATAGCTCGTCATTGTTAACTGACTTCAAAAATAGAGTTTCTCAACTCGATTGTATTTTTTTATATTTGTTACCTCAATACACATATTGTCATTTATAAAACGGATTGGACAAATTGGTCCCATAGAACCTTTATAAAAAATCAATTCAGATAGTTTTAAAATCAAAATTAATTTGGTTTTGCCACGATTGAAGTCGTTTTTTTTCTGTCTTAAATTATTATCCCGGTCACGCGGACAAAGTCTCGGCTAAAAGCTAGTTATATACATATAATATTACTTTAATACTTTTTAAATTACTTCAATATAAAAGTATTTTTTGAAGTCATTTAAAAAGCTTCAGAAAAAATATAACCACATTAACAATCTCCTTTTTTGAAGTCGGTTAAAAAGTATGTGAATGCATATTACATAGTATTGATTTATTACTGGCGCTCAGATTAGATTTTTTATCACATTGCTGATTTTTTCCTGTTACTAGAGCTGCAACACGGAAGGCAACGACCAGTTTGATTCGAAAATTAACATATAAACTAGTTTACAATTCAATTTGTATACCCGTTATTTAGACGGATAAATGTATTAAAAATCATTCGGTGAATAAAATTTGGCTATGAAACACTATACAGAATTTTCTTTATTTTTAACCGACTTCAAAAAAAGGGGTTCTCAATTCGGTTATATTTTGTTCTTATGTTTGTCACCCCATAACTTTGACAGTCGAAAACCGATTTTCGACTGAAAGGATATACTTATAAATTGGCCCAATAAATTTTTTATCAAAATCTGCCCAGTAGTTTAGTTTTTAAATGCAAATAACTAATTTTGTCACAAATGACGTTGGCTTTTTTTTATGTAAAACACAATCCTTTTTTTTTTCTTCCGTGTGGAAAATCTTCAGCTATAGACCGTCCCATCTGCCGGAGGGAGGGCAGCTGGGGTGTGTGGGATTCTACCCACTAAAAACCACACGACGTACCTCGAGGCGCTTATGTTGGATCCCAGGTTCCCGTTTGTACGACTACCGAGTAGCCAACGCGACCTTCAATTCGTTTGTATTTGTTGTAATTATTGTTTGTCTTTTCCGAGAGTTGTCATTTATGTCATTGTCCTATTGTTACTGAAATTTAGATACTTTGTCATAGTGACAAATATGTTGACAGTCAAATTTTTTGAACCCTCGTTTCTCCTCTACGAGAATTGTCATTTATGTCCTTGCCCTATTATTACAAAAATTTAGTTTCTTTGTCAATTTTTTTTTTAATTTAAAAGAAATATTGTCCCAAAAACCCACAAAAGCATATTGCTTCACAAAACAGAGACACCAATTGTAACAAAATTTGTTTTGACTAGTAATCGCGCTGTTCTCTTTTTTTTTTGTATAAATATAAGCCATAGAGTAACGACGAAATGTTTTAAAGATAACATGTAAAATATTTTTTTATTTTATTGGATGTAAAATATTTTGAATTCAGAATGCGGCGTAATCATGTTTAAACCTATGTAGATTTCGCAACAAGTAGAATTACTCCGCAAAGAAAAACTGCAGCTTTATACTTCATAAAATCAATATGGAATCAAAAATAATCATCAAAATCCGTTTAAAATTGATCGATACAGTCAAATTGATCTTTTTCTGGAAATCACATGAAAAGCAAGTCTAATGCACAAAGAACGGAAAGTGTCAATGAAAGAATGCTACTATAAGACATGCTGGTCTAGTGGCTTAACCTATCGCTTTACCTTTCGATGGTCGTAAGTTCTATTCCCGCACGGTACAAACATTTGTATTCATAAGTACGTTTGTTTGTATTAGTCTGGATGTTTTCTATGTATATTGTGTATGTAAGTAGTAAAATAAATTAAGTATATCGATAAGTTGTTTAGTATCAATAGCAGGTACAGGGGGGAAAGGTATTGTTAGTAATAGAGACTGAGAATCCTATTGCTAGCAATATACTCAACCAGGTCGACCTCCTCGCGGTTCTCCCTGGAAACTATCATGGTTAATTCGTGATGAATTCATCATGATGGGCTAACTGACCTATTTTCATTCTCATCTATCACCCTTCACTGGTGCTCCGCCAGCGTATTCCGTTAGCGCAGGCGGGGTTACCATACCATTTTCACCCAAGGAAAAAAAAAAAAAAATAGCAGGTACAAAATTTCCATCCTAGATGGCGCTGAGCAAAATAAGTAGAGAGTGGGAGTATTTGGTGGTCACCAATCTATACACACACACACACACACACACATCCTCTAATTACCTGAACGTCATTATGTAACAACCGAGTGAAACTTGGCATATGAATGAGAGCCATTTAAAAATAGAACGAATGACACAGCCGGCGCCAAACTATCAAATCAAATACATATAGAAACAATCCTTTATTTATCTTATCTATGGTTTGTCATTAATTATTACCAGCATATTATAAATAAGGAGCAAAGTGCGTCTAAGTCTAGACAGATAAAAAAATATACATGTTACGAAATAGTTAAGATTGTGGTCAACCAAAAAAAAAAATACCGACCTCAAATATAGCAAAATCAAGTTACACTGATTTAAAACCTAAACTAGTTAATTCATTTTGATAAAATTTTGATGAGATTAATTTGCAAAAAGATAAAAATGATGATGTAAAAAAGACTTCAGAAAAAGAAAGTTTTTTTTTTAAGAGACGTGCCCTCTGTCAATAGTTTTAAGCGTAGGTATATGATTTTGTCACGATTAATCTCAGTTTTTTATGTCGGGCGTCAGTGGATGCAGGTGGCTCGGGACCGTTCCTTATGGCAGTCCATAGGGAGGCCTTTGTTCAGCAAATTCATCTTGTTTATTTAAATAGATTTGTTTACAAACATTGGACAAATAACGACTGATACGACAATGATGAACCTATTTGGCACCTATTTTGAAATTAGCGCCTTCTATCTAGTGTTTTATGTGTTCAACTCATACGCTCAGATAAGGTTATAGGAACATGCGCCCGCCTTTGTGATCGGTTATACATGCATGGCCGTAGCTGGGTGGTAATAAGGGGCAAAGCCCTACCTTAAAAGTACCAAAGCCCTACCTTGAAAGGACCCATATAAATTAGACAGACTAATAATTTTTGTACAAATGGTATAACATGAAAGCTCGGGAAAATTACAGGTTCAAATCTAAAATAACTGCTTTGCTTTCTACTTGTTTATTAGTTTGACGTTTAAGTTTGATTGACGTTCTTAAGATTAACTTTCGAAAGTACTTATATTGATCTTAAATGAAATATTTTGATACTAAAACAATAGATTATTATTAGAAAAAATTTAGTTCATCTCTATTAGTAGTTTATAGTGTGGTAAAAGTATGCGCTTGCCCTTTGGTCACCAGATATTTCGATCGAGCCGTCGCATATATGTTTAAAAAATCTCCGTGTCACCGATTGGTGTTGAAACCAAAATTCCATGGTTTCAACTCGAAACGCCTCAATTTCTGCAGTATCTAATGTGACTACACTAATACATGCAAAAGTGTGTATTATTTTAGGACATGAATAACAACTAACTATTGCAACAAATCATTCCTTAAAATATACGAGTAGCCCGGAACTAGAGATGGGCAATCCACCTGGGTGGGTTTAAAGTCTGGTGGGTAAAAACCGGGTGTTTTGGGTTTATTGGGTTTAAACCCCATAAACACCCAAATTTTTGGGTGTTTATGATTTTGTACTTCATCATCGTCATCTCAGCAAGACGTCCACTATACTGGACATAGACAATATTATTATGCAGCCTACAGAATAAAAAACTTTTAATTTGATTTTGAGTTTATTAAGAAAGAGATGAAAGTAAAATGTAAAACTACAGTCAATCACTGTCAGATTCAGAGTTATTACAAGCGATGAATTGTATAGGTTCGATAGGCTCTATTTCGTCTAAACTGTTATGTTCATTTACTTGCTCAATGAAAGCTTCTAAGGTATTTTCTTCATTAAACTGAATGTCCTCGCATTCAGCTTTATGTTTAAGATTCCAGTTATAACAAATGAATGAAATTTTTTCAGTTCTTTCAGTTGTAAGTCGATTTCTTTTGTTATTATGTATGTAGCCTTGGATACTAAAGGAACGCTCAGTGGCTGCCGAAGTACAGGGAGCTGATAGAATACGAATCGCTACTTTGCTTAACTCAGTGGAACCACAAATACCTTTCCACCATATTAGGGGCTCAATGCTATCTAATGAGCTCCATACAAATCCTCTGGCCCAAAAGTTTTCTTTAGCTTTATAACACGCCAAATCTGCCATTACATTTGACAAACTTAAGTGTTGGCTTAAATTGTAGATAAACTCCATACCCTTAAGTTCTTCCTCTTGAGTAAGTTCGACTCCTAGAGTCCTGGGGTCTAGAATATATGCTGCAAAATGTATTGGCCTCATTGCCATATTGCATCTTGAAGATACTGATGTTAGAATCTGCTGTTTGCTTTCTTCGCTCAATGTCGAAATCTCATTTAATGCAAAACGTATCTTAGCTTGTACATCTCTAAATGTAATGTATGTGCGATGCAAACGATTCTGGTCGCTCTCTAAGTAAAATATGCTTTCAGTGACTGGTTCCAAAATACTTATACATTCCCCTGTCTTCGTCCAGAAATCATCACTTAGAATTAAATCTTTAATATCTCTTGAAATTACCACATCTTCTCTAACTGTTAATATTTGCAAAGCTATCTTATTTGCTTTCAAACTTTTTAACGAAGTAACATGACTTCCCCATCTTGTAGCACAAGGCAATTTTAGTGTTTGTGTAGAATCTTCACCCTGCCTTGATTTTATCAACAAGGAACTTAATCGTTGACTCCTTTTAACAGTTTTTATTATATTTATGGCTTGCATAATAAACACAGTTACTTCTTGTATCTTTACAATATCTTGGCACAACAAGTTAAGGATATGTGCACAGCAACCGAGAGGAACAACATGTGGATATTTGAGTTTTGTTAATTCGAATGCCTTTTGTATATTTCTAGCGTTATCGCCAATAAGTACAAGAAACTTATTTGCTCCATACACTTTCATTACTTTTTCAACTTCTTGGCTAAGGTATTCACTAGTGTGAGGATTACTTTCTGTATTCAAACTTTTAACGTATGCAGGTTGAGGTTTTGATATAAGAAAGTTTATTATTCCTTCATTTCTTAAATTAGACCAGCCATCGCACTGAAGGTGTAAGTAACTACAAGCATTTAGTTCCTCATTTAACTCAAAACGCATTTCTCTATATATTTTATCTAAGTATTTTGTCGCTAAAGCTTTACGTGAAGGTATTTTAAATTTTGGTTGCAATTTTTCGAAAAATTGTATCCATAAAGGATGTTGCACCATCGATAATGGCGTCCCTGTTACAAATATAGCTCTCGCTAATTCTGTTTTTATATGATCATCGGTGTCTTGAAACTCAGCATTTATTGTAGTGTTAGCAGACGACGAGGGGCTTATAAAAGAATCATTTGTCTCTATCTCTGACAGTCCAGACATTTTGGTTTTGGACGAGCTATCTTTTATAAGTTTCATAGAGTCTTTTAATGTTTCTGGAGATTTTGGACAAGTGATAAGATGTTGAAGCATTTTGGCAGCATTACTGAATTTGTAGACCTTATTACAAAGCTTGCAAGAAACAGACTTGTTTGGTAAAGTACGGTAGTGCTCCCATATGCGTAAATCTTTAGGTCTCCCCATTGAACCTAAAAAAATGAACGATGATTAGTTGGTCTGACGAAAATTCAACAATAGAGTGCCTATTTTTTTACAATGATTATTTCTTGTTATTTACAATAAATTTATTAAAAAAATAATAAAATAAATACAAAAAACCTTTGTAAAATTACATCTCCTCGGAGGATTAAACGCAGACGCTAGTTTATTATCGTATTGTTCTGTATTTTTCTCAGCAACTTCTTTAATTCGATTAGGTACTTACGCATATTATGTTAAAAATAAATATCTAGTACACATCTTAGGCTATCCACCATTATTATCCAATGACGACTCTCAGCTAACTATGCACTATCATCCAAAATAAACGTGTATGGAAAATTTTATCCCAGTCGGTTGAGGATTGAGGATAATTGCATCAACATACGAACATACCTACATACTTTTATTTACATAACGCAAGCTAAATAAAAGCTTGTAATAATACATCTAATTTTAAGTTAAAATTGTTAAGTGATCATGATATAATTGTATCATTCAAAAATCCACTTACCTTTAATTATTTCTTGTTAAGTATAAATATTATTTCAAATCTGCTCCCTTAATATGCACTTTTTTACTGCTTTTCCTACCTAACACGTTACCAGGAAGTCACGTTACCAGAGTCAGAGTAATAGTGAACACGTTTGACAGTGATTGTCGTCGCCTCATATTCAGCGTCGACGAATAGGGGAATCCCCAGTCATAATGTATTGCATGCGTGGCGGTCTTACTTCAAATCCATAAACAAAGAGATAATTACAGAACTCGATACTAGATGGCGCTGTTTTTGTTTGAAGAAAGTTTGCGGGCTAAAATACATAGAATTTCATCAATGACTTCCACAAAGAACAACATTTCTGTTTTTTCTAAGTCCGTATCTCTTCCGTATATTTCATAAGATATAAGCTTGGGCTACATTGTTATGCAACGTGATTTTGTCGCTGTCTTGCTAGCAGGGTTGACAGATATACGATTTAAATCGTACTCATACTATTATTTGTCTATTTTTTAATGTACGATCGTAAAGATTATGATCGTAATTCGCACAAAAACATACGACTTTTTGGTTACCTGGCAACATTTTTATTATGAAACGAACATGCTCACATCATCAGTCACATGCAACAATTTATTGGGGATTTCCCCTTCACATCTGGCAGTCCTGCTTGCTAGAATATAGGTAAGTCAGCCACAGTTACTGACGATCGATATTTAAAGGGTATTGTTTTTGTGCTAAATATTTCATAAAAACGTTATTTAATACTTTGTGGATTATTAATTTAGTTGATAATCACTGGAAGTAAAATGGATGCTAATTTGAGAGATCAAGATCTTCGTATAAAACAGTTAATAAAAGAAAATCTACGTAAGTACTCTTTTTATACCTAGGTAGGTAAGGTATAATAAACACAAAAGGTACTTAGATCGCGTGTGTTCGAAGCATTTATTCTAATAAATTTAATTTAAAATTGTAGAAAGAAAAAAATGTCTGCCAAGCCGTAGCCGAAGCCGATCTCCAAATATATTTGGCGATAGTGAGACCCAGTGTCCAGATGATTTACCCAGCGTCGTCGCAACAAAGAAAAAATACGAGGATAAAGTAAAAGAAAATTTACTGAAAGAAGAAACAAACTGTTCTAAATGCTTAATTTATGGAGAAGAGGATAAAAGAAATGAGTATTTCGGACTGTTAGTGGCTCAAGAATTTAAATATATACGGCCATGTGTGCGAACGAGGTGTTATGAAGAAATTTTAAAGTACGAGGTTTGTCCGGAAAGTACGTATAAAAGTTTTTTAAAAATTTTATTTTACAATTATTCAGGTAAATCAATTTTATCCCCTTCAAAGTACTCCCCCTGTGACATAATGCACTTGTGCCAACGCCGTTTCCACTGTGAGAAGGCTCCTTGAAAGTCCTCTGGTTGTAGGTTTCTCAGCTGCCCCGTCGTAGCTTTTTTTATCTCATTTATGTCCCCCAAATGCCGCCCCCGAAGTACCAATTTGGTTTTTGGGAACAAGAAGAAGTCACACGGGGCCAAATCCGGCGAATAGGGGGGTGTTCGGTCACCGTAATGGAATTTTTACTCAAAAACTCACGGACAACAAGAGAGGTGTGGGCAGGGGCATTGTCGTGGTGAAGAATCCAACGCCCCTCTCGCGCCAATTCTGGACGAACTCGTGCCACACGAGCTTTGAGGCGTCTGAGCACATCGACGTAGAATTTTCCATCAACTGTCTGGCCTGGAGGGATGAATTCGTCGGAATGTGAAGTGGAAGGACGTCCTGAACGTGGGTCATCTTGAACGCTTTCTCGGCCCTCTCTGAATCTTTTTAGCCACTTGTGGACGGTTGGTTCCTTCACAGCATCATCCCCATAAACTGTTCTGAGATCGGCAAAAATTTCACGGCCATTCTTGCCGAGTTTCGAGAGAAACTTGATTACGACGCGCTGCTCTTCAACGGAAGCGGGCTCCATGCCGACGGGGTTTCGTTAAGAGGTAACTTCACAGATGGCGTGACAAGCCAGTTCGCACCGCACGGCGGTCAGACCAGAACTGAAGCATTGTTAGGGACATAAGGAAGGGGTCCTGCGCTTACCTGGCCTCCCCACTCCTCTTTCTCGCATTCCAGAACACTTTTATACGAACTTTCCGGACAGACCTCGTATCTACGGGAAGCAAAAGGCCAACATGTTGATCAACTGCAACATGAAAACACTGAAAATTAATTACTTTCATTTTATTATATATAGATTTTTAAAATTTCCTGAAATATTATTAGTTAACGTTTTATTTAATATTGTAGAATTGATCAATACAATTTATAAAAATAATTTATTGGTATTACTTACATATTTTCAAAAAAATACGTAAAAACCTATTTTTTTGGGTGATTATGGGAGTTTATGGGTGTTTATTGGGTTTTTACCAAAGCACCGGGTTTAAACCCGGTGCTTTGCCCATCTGTACCCGGAACGCTTTGGAACTTTACTTAAAAATAAAACGGACTTTCAGTACAAACTATTACTTCCCATATTTCCCTTACGATAATTAGATCATATCGAAGCCTTTGAAAGAAGATGAAGATGAAATCGGAAGCTATTCTCCTCTGGAATTCACTTAGAAGATTAATTTGGAAACTCTTATCTTTTGGAAGTTCCTTGATTAGACGAGTTCGGAACATCTTTCTTTTGAAAATCGTTTAAATATCAGAAGAAATTGGAAACAGTTTCTTCGGGAATTTATTTTAAAAGATTAAATTTGGATTTTTTTCTTTTGAAAAAGTCACGTTTAAGTCACTGAAAATGCACTTTCTACACAAAATTTTCACATTCGCTTCAACTCATTATATCAAAACTTTTTATTTTAAATGCATGCTTCATTTTTATACAAATACACATAAATAGTCTAAATAGGAATAAAATCTTTTTGTACAGATTTATTGAGAGAGATTTAAGTTATTTGAGTTCACAGCTTACCCTCAATTTCTGCTCTGGTACATAACTTGTGGATTTTTTCCCTGGACCAATTTCCTGGTATACAACCATCTTGCTCCTCCGAACATCTGCTGCTCTTTTCCTCTGTATTAACATTCAACAAATTTAAATGTGAAAACAATTGTCCATATCTTCTTGCTATCGACTAACTGTGGTCAATAAGGAGAGTAACATACATCCCACCGAACATTTTTTTTTTATATTTCACGCGGAGCAATCGAGTATCCGGATCACTTTATGGTAAGTGACTAACTTCGCACATGAGCACACGAAATACCTGAGGAATTGCAAGTGTATTGTTGGCCTTCTAAAAAGGAATATGCTCTGTTCTTAAATGCTATGATATCGTATCTGTTCAGAAATACTCCTGCTGGAAGTTGATCCCAAAGCATGGTACGCGTAGAAGAAAGTATTTTAAAAATGCACAGATGAACATCGCCACTCATCCCGGGGATGGAACTTTAGGTTATGCGGTGGTGAAATTCAGTAGCAGGTATCAATCCGAACAATTTCTTAGAATATTCCCCGTGACATGTTCACTAAAAGTCAGATAATAAAGTGCTGATCATTAATAAATCCAGTCGCTTGATGTTCAATGCGGTCTAATGCAAAAAGATGGAACTGGGGCGCTTCAGTCCTGAAGTGATAACAGTATTCCACATGCAGGCGGACTTGAGTTTTATACAATTACAAGCGATGTGCTGGAATTAAATACCGTCTCATTCTACTGAGCTCCTTCAACTTTTTGGAGGCAATTTTAGGTTTTTCTTCCAAACGACTACAAAATTGGACGTTGCTGGATATATCAATCTCAAGGGGATCCTTGAGATACTCGACTTATTATTAAAGATAATGTTTTAAAACAGAGGAATAACGATAAACGGCATCTTTTTATAATGAACGCGCGCAGACTTGTGTCTTCTTAGGATTGAATTAAATAAGATTGTGATATTCGGGGTAGTTAGTAGTGCAGCTCCTCTGGCAATTATGTGCTGCACCGTGATCTTCATACAGTAATATAAATAAGTATCTCCCACATCCATGTTCTTGCACAAAACAAAGTGAGAGAGATTCATTCGTACATCCGATAGACTACCTTTCACTACTACTACCTGCCTTAGTGTTTTGTGGTTTTTCTGCAATCTCTTCTGCAAGCTGTTATCTAGTTGTCGCCAGCACATGAAGTAACGTTGACATCGAATAAAAGAACTTAACGCAAAATTAAATCATATAGGATTTTAACCCAACTACGTTCTACGAATCGGCCCCTATGTTACATTACAGATTATTCTCCTTATTTTTCCACAACACATACTCTTCCAGAATATCCGGAAGTACCTATATACAGAGATTAATAATTGACTATCTATCTGGGTATACCGCAAGCCCCTAGTAGTGGATAAATGTTCTCTTAAATGTTCTCTATATTTAATTCCATTCCTGTGGGTACCGTAAGACGCGACTAAGGGAAATTAGTTCTTTATTCTTTATTGTACACAAAAAGTTATTGAAATGAAATGTTATTGAAAAACAAACATAATAGTGCACAAAGGCGAGCTTATCTATACGCAAATCCAATATAAGAAAACCGACAGTTTATTAGTAAAGTAAAAAGTAAAGTAAAGTCATACATGTGTACCAATCGACTTAAATGGTATAGTTAAAAATAAATAAAATGTCTTTAAGTCGCTTCTTCACACATCAATAGCCACACATCAGTAATTCTTCAATGTTTGTGATTTATATTTTTCCAATAAACATGTAATTTACCAGAGGGAGACTTTGTCAAACGTCGTCTGCTTGGGTACTTCTCATTCGTGTTTTTGTAAAGCAGTTGCGTTTGCACAGCTGTTTATGTTTGAAGAAGAATGAAATTACAGGCCACAGGGACATAAGGCCTCTACAAGTTCTCAGCTCCGTAAGGAGAAATTTTAAAAATGTTAAAGCATGTCTCTTATTTTTAAAGTAACTTTATTGAGGAGCAAAATCAGTTATAATAAAAAAGCAAATAAGAAATCTTACGACTTTAGAAATTTAAGTTTGTCTCGTAAAAAAAAGTGATTTCAATGCGACAAAATTAATTTAGGATTAACACGAAACTACTCTACTAAAAAGTTCTTTTGTCCTACCTTAAACTTGGGTCTAGCTACGGC